AGGCTTTGTTCACACACACACACACAATTATGAATATATATATATATATATATATATATATATAATTATAGCTATGCTCACTTCCTTTAATATATGATATTAGCCATTATTTTACAGCAACACGGTAGGAAAGCTGGGTTCTAGGGGACATTAATGTAGAACAAGTGATTGAGGCTATATTTTCATCCTATGCAGGCTGTAAAGTCAAAGGAACTACATCAGTCTTCTTTATTGCCCTTCATATTTTCAGAGTCAGATTGTATGATGACAGCGGCTACGCCTTTCTAGGAAGGAATAACAGATATACAAACATGCCATATAACTCATCAGAGTAATACCGCCATTCATTAAAACACATAGTAAACCTCTGATTATATGACTGACGTGTATTACTTTTCAAATAGTGCCAATGTGGCCCACATCTCCGTAAGACATATACCTTCTGCAAGATGGTCAACTCCACCGGCCGGATATCATAGGACAGACTCATGAACATAAAAAAGTATTTTATGGAGATTTGAAAGAATTATAAATCCACCGACGGTAATCGTCACTGATTTACTCCGCCTTATGATATTTTCAAAAGATCCACCTGAAAACTGTTATCAAAATTAATGGATCTCAGCTTGAACCAGGAATCCAATCTTTTTTTTTTTTTTTTTTTTTTTTTTTACTATAGTCTTTAGTTGGTATCGCTAAGAGCTTTCTTAAGAATAAAAGCGAAGAGCCACTAAAAGAAGTCTCGTTTCCTTTCAGCACTTTATTTAGATTAATGTTATAAAAGCTGCGGTTAGAAGGGATCTAGATGAGAAGAAGGCATGAATAAATATTGTAGTTTACCAACTAATGTATATAATAGCTCTCGGAAAATAATGAAAAATTCAAGTGAGAATTAGATATAGGTATTTATTAGTTTGTCTACGTGCTATATTAAAACTGCTACATGGACTGCAGTATTAAGTCTAAGGTGTCATTATATTATATATAATTCATTATCACAAGAGTGTTTCCAGTGTTACTTTGTTTACCTCAAATTTTGTTGCGATTTCATCTTCTCAGGCTCTCCCACTAGGAATGGTATTAGTACAAGGTTATTACATGTCAAAAAAAATAAAAATAAAAATAAAAATAAAAATAAAAATAAAAATAAAATAAAAAAAAGACATTACCACCAATTTGTGTACGATAAGACAGCTGCCAGACCTGTCGAGCCTACTCTCTCAGCGGCGGCGTCCTTACTGAACAAAACAAACATGGTGAATTTTGTCCGACCTGCACAAAAAGTCCGCTTGATCAGCCTTTACAAACACTATCCATGGTTGGAAGGAACCAAACCAGCAAGCTTTGACAAAAAGAATGTAGTTTGGGTTGATTGTATGTTGAATATTAATTTTATTTTCTTTTTGTTTCCAAATACAAATACAAATGGTATGATTAAGTAAAGAAGGTAATGTTGGTCCAATCCATATTGATTCCAGGGTTGGGATAATATCTACAAGAGACATTGACAGATGAAGATAAATAGAGCCATAGGGTAAAAAAGATTGTGGCTTCGCATCTTCCCCTTTTCTTTCTTTCTTTCTTTCTTTCTTTCTTTCTTTTTTTTCTGTTTTGACTAGTTCATTAACTAGATAGTACCTCGGATTCTTCTTGCTAATTGTATATCCCTTTGCATCACGGTGACGCGTTTTGCGTGTATGGCACATAAGTTACTGAAATATGGTCGATCAAAGATAAAATACGCACATTAGATGTTAGAAAAGTGGTTTTTTTTTATGTATTGTTCGCTTTATGAGGATCGGGGATTTTTTTTTTAAAAAAAAAAAAAAAAAAAAAAAAAAAAAAATCGTATTTTTTTGATAAAAAGCACTTACGCATCCTCAAATAGATGGACTAGAAATGCTTCAGTGGCTTCTTGTAATGCCAATATTGCTGCAGATTTCCATTTGAGCCCAACAGGGTCAGTACCCGCAGGTCTGTGTAATGAAACAATATCATTTGCAATCTCTCGCACCTATTTGGCAAACAATAATAAAAAAAAAATCAAAAAATAGCAATTATCATAAGAAACATGTGAGATAGCAATGATAGTATTTTAATAAATAGCTGGAAAGCAGTTTCGACGGTTTGCCTATAATATAACAACATACCACTCGTGCAAATGGTAGTTTTCGAAGTAAAAGACTCGTGCTTGCCTGATATTGACGAATCTCCTTAAGCGCCTTCACGCCTGGCTTATAACGATTAGCCTTTTTCGGCGCAATAGGGTCTCCTGGCTGTGCCCTGGGTGCTGAACTACTGGGCCTTTGAGCAGGGAAGTTGCTGTTACTTGCTCGAGGCATAGCGTTGTTGAAATATGATGAAAGGTGAAAAAGTAACAAAAAGTAAAGTTGTGTTCTGTATTTTGTAGTTGCAATGGTTTTATCACATGACTGCTCTCCCCTTAATCCACGTGTTTCCCCAATCATTCTCCAATCCATACTTTTTTTTTTTTTTTTTTTTTGAATGTTTCCCTCGTTGTGATTCATATCCTTCTCGATCATCCTCTCCCTCACCCCCTAACATATACGCCATGGATTCTTCATCAGGTAGAGAGATTAATTTGAATTTTTACTCTCATTTAGACTCAATACAGCAGCTACAAAATATCTCTCTCTCTCTCTCTCCCTCTCTCTTCGACATGCTTTGGATAATGCGCCTCTTAAAATATGAATGCACCAGTTGTTTCAGACAAAATCATGGCAAAGCATTTAAATGCAAGAAAATGAAAATGAAAAAGAAAAAGAAAAAGAAAAAGAAAAAAAAAAAAAAAAGTCAACAAAAATGTCGTCTTCTGCGTCATGGACAGTTTATTATATTTCCAGTGATAGCACTCTGTGACAGAGCAGTCTCAGTTAAAAGAGTAGCAAGTTGGACAGCTTGAAGGAGAGGGACCCAATTTGGGGTTGGTCTCTTCGGCGAGATAAGAAAAGGAGGCTAGGATAGTATGGGATAGCTGCAGCTTACCGTCTTTGGACCACACCATTCCATTTGATATATTTTGGATACCGATGGTAGTGCTCAGTCATGTGCCAAACGTCTTTGAGGGATAACTGTCTGTTGTTGTTATTCTTTTTGGGCAATAAGCTCACGCAATACGACTGCGGGAACTACGACCACACTTCATCCCCATCCTTGACAAAAGGCACGCAAAAAAAAAAAAAAAAAAAAAAAAAAGGAACAACAAGCTAATCATTTCATCTTATTCCTTTTTGCATATCAAATAGCCAACGTTGATATCAAGAAGAAGCAGCAGGAGGCTCCTACTCCTCAGAACACTCCCATCTTCTCTGCTCCTATCAACTCGTCCGTTCGTCCCTCTGTCCCTACCGTTGAGGAAGATTTGGAGACTATCAAGACCCCTGGTATGGCATGATATTCTTTTTCGAGATGAAAGGATCTCTATTGCTTTTTTTTTTTTTTTTTTTTTTTTGGTGGCGACTACTTCGTCTCCAATATCCATTATCCCCAACAAAAAAAATAAAAAATTATGACAACACAACACATAGAAATTTATATTTCTGTCGATAGAGCAATCCGATTAACATTACCTTATTTCTCTTTATTATTGCTATTGTAATTTTAGGTACCTCTCTCTTGGCTAACAACCCTCAACTCATGTCCATGCTGCAAGGTCGTCTTGGCAACTTGGTCGGCGCTCCTTCCGGCTATTACCAGAGCTTGCCCGTCGAGGTTCGTCGCCGTGTTAAAGGTTTAAAGTCGCTTCAAAATAAGCACTCTGCCTTGGAAGCCGAGTTCCAGAACGAGATTCTTGCTTTGGAGAAGAAGTACCTTGCTCTCTATACTCCCTTGTACGAGAAGCGTGCTGATTACATCAGCGGCAAGTCCGAACCCACTGACGCTGAAGTTGCTGAGGGCGTCAGTGACGGGGAGAATGAGGATGACCAAGATGAGGACGAAGAGGATGAGGACAAGGATACTCAGAAGGTTGAAGGTAAATTTTTTTTAGAAAGAAAAAAAATAGTCAATCAAAAGGATTGAAATGGCTTAATTAGAGTCACTGATGTCTTTTATTTTTATTTTTATTTTTTGTGTAATGAAGGCATTCCCGAGTTCTGGCTCACAGTCTTGAAGTCGAACCCTCAATTTGCTGATATCATCACTGAGAAAGATGAGGAGGCTTTGAAGCACTTGGTTGACATTCGCATGGCTTACTTTGAGAAACCTGGTTTCCGCCTTGACTTTGAGTTCTCACCCAACGATTTCTTCACCAATACCATTCTGTCAAAGACTTATTATTACCAGGACGAGCCTGGTTACGGCGGAGATTTTGTCTATGATCATGCTGAGGGCACCCAAATTGAATGGAAGGAGGGCAAGGACCTTTCAGTTACTGTCGAGACTAAGAAACAACGCCACAAGGGTACCAACAAGACTCGCGTAGTTAAGAAGACTGTCCCTGCTGAGACTTTCTTCTCGTTCTTCAGCCCTCCAGTTGCCCCTGGAGACCAGAGTGACGAAGAAGCTGACGACGATGAGGATCTGGATGAGAAGCTTGAGGCCGATTATGGTTTGGGCGAGGAGTTGAAGGACTCGATCATTCCCCGAGCTGTTGATTGGTTCACTGGAAAAGCCCTTCAGTATCAGGATGGCGACCAATACGATGATGATTTTGATTATGATGATGAGGATGAAGAAGAGGATGATGATGAGGACGACGACGAGGACGATGATGACGAGGGTGTAAGTATATCCTATGAATATCTTGTGCACATAATCTTTTGAAATAGGATCTCTTTTTACTAAAAACATTTATTTCCTTTTATGTCATCAATAGGTCCCCACCAAGGATGAGAAAGCCCCTGAATGCAAGCAACAATAGATTCATTCTCGTGTCGCAGCTATAAGCTGATCCCACCTTCCATTGCATCCTTTCTTTCTCTACATCAACTCTGAACTCTGAACATAAAAAAAAAAAAAAAAAAAAAAAACCAAGTGAACAAAAAAAAAAAAAATCATAATAGCAATTTTCATTTTTCAATTCATCATTACTTTTCCTCGTTTCTATTCTTTTCATACACCAAGCATTCTTCTCCTGACCTCCTATTTTGTCCATTCCTTTTTTTGAAAATAAATTGGATCGATTCATTTATATATATTTCCAGTTTTTATTAATGCATGCAGCGAATTTGATCCCATTGCAATACAGAAGAAAAAAAACATCAACAAAGAAGAGAAGTTACTAGCACTCTCATACAAAAAACAATCTCTGTCTTTGTATGTATTATTACCCTTTCTTTATCCTCCTGTCAGTATTTAACGACCATCAGGAGTGATGGAACGAGCACTATTTAGTTGAAAGATTACGTATAGATATCAATCAGACAAAATTGATTAATTAAAGATATGGCGCGAGATTAGTGACGGCGTGAAAGAAAGAGAAAGTAAAAAAAAAGAAATGGGAAAATGATTTTTCACTTACCGATCCTTTGCAGTGGGACTAGCAGAACGCATACGACGATCGCCGTTAGGGCTTTGAGAGCGACCACGGGCGGCAGGAGATGGATCTCTGTCTTTCTGTTGGTCGTAATCACGGCGGGACGAACGTTCGGGTGAACGGTCGCGGTCCTCTCGGCGGGAATCCTCTCTGTACTCACGACGGGAGTCTCGGCGATCATCACGACGATCATCACGACGGTCATCACGGCGATCATCGCGACGATCATCACGGTAATCACGGCGGCGAGGCGAGCGCGAGCGCGAGCGATCTCTGTAATCGCGACGAGGGGAACGTGAGCGACGACGAGGCGAGCGAGATCTAGGATATTAATTAGCAGATTAAGAATAAGGTAACAAACAGGACGTCAGTAAAGACGTCTACACGTGCAAAGCTGTAAACAACAGTTGTGTCTTCAGTGGAGTGAATGTGCCTGTCGGGGATTATAAATTTGAAAAGTGACAATGTTGATATAAAAGGTGATTTTAGATCACCATAAATAAAAAAAAATAAAAAAAAGCATTTAGTCGACTTGCGATGCTTTTGCTGTTCACACATACAAAACAAACACGACGGTCGATGGAGCTGCACAACTCGGGAGAGTAGCAGAAAAAAAAACGGATACGGCTTTGAAGCACAAAAGCGAATTAATGAGATAATGATGGTGATAATAGATAAAAAAAAGGGGGGAGAGGGAGGGAATAGGGAGGGGAGGGCACGCTTCGAGGACCGAATGACTCGACGAGACTCTTCATAGCCGGCATTTCAGCAATCCGCTTTTAGATTGGTCTTCGGTTGTTCCATAGTGGTTTAATTTCTCCGCTCTCTCTTGGCCTTTTTCCTTTTCCTTTTCTTTTTTTTCTTTTATCCCTTTTGCATCCTTTTTTAATTTTGCACCTTTTCTTTTTCAGGTTGTGCAAATAGTATCCGGCAGGCACAACGGCACTCCTGTAAAGACATCGCCATAGTGCGGTAAACTGAAGGACATGGAGCGGATTGAAGACACGGACGGATGACAATACCTTCTGCGATCACTGTAGCGACCGCCACCACGACAATCACGAGCCCAATGTCCTATTAGGAAAAATATGTTATTTAAGGGGACGTCAATTTCAATCAAACAATAATGGCGGTCATACAAGGCTTCCAGAGATGTGGTTCAATTTTCAATCTTTTTTTTTTTTTTTACCCTCCTTGCCGCACTAGGATCAAGTCAATATAACACACAATTGGATAGATATTAGTAAACAAAACAGATGGGTCAAATACGTAATCTATAACAAGCTTTAATGGTTGTTTTGAATGAACAAAAAAATCTTTCTTTTTTTTTTACCTTGAAGCACTCATTGTCACCAGCACGACGGCCGTTATTCTTGGCAAACTCGACCACGATGGGGTTACCATTTACAACGTGTCCATTAAGCTTGTGGACAGCCTCATCCGCATCACGAGGATCCTGTGCATGAAATAAAAATTGTCAACTTCTTTGATTTGTTTACGGTTGTGTATCATTATCAATGCAGCACAAATTTATCAAATCTATTGTCATAATGTCCATCTCAAAACCGTTTCTTATTTACTAACCTCGTACTCTACAAAGCCATAACCAGAGTTGGTACCTGTAAAAGATAAGGACGTAATCACCGTGAGTGCGGAGTCTTCAAAGAGCGGTCGATTTGCAAACCCGTCACAATCACAAAATAGAAGCTTTTTTTTTTATTATTATTATTATTATTATTATTTTTAAACTGCACCTCTTTTGATATCAAGACGAGTGACCCTGCCATATTTGGCAAAAAGGTCCTCCAAATCTCTCGAGCGGGTGTCATGGGTGAGACGACCAAGGAAGAGAGCCATGATTTTGAGCAGAAGAAATGAAAGATTAAAAGAAGGAACAAGAAGAACAAAAAGAAAGGAAGGAAGGATGAAGAGGGAAGGGAGAGAATGAGAGGTGATGGAAGAAGAGAAAAGAGAAAAAGAGAAGTTGACACAAATCAAATAACAATAATAATATAAACAGACATGAAGACAATTCGCACAAACGGTTCAAATAATAGTCTTGTCATGTGATCTGTGACGTGTTGTCTACCTGGAATGGCCAGCTCTGATAACCGTTCATACATGCACATGGACACCACCATCATACCATCTGCTCGTTAATAATCCATCACTCACTCCTCTTTTACAACCCCAGCTATGGTACGCCATTGATGCTTTCCCATCGACTTGGTATCATTTCTTTTATCATAGATGACCTTTCTGAAGCTAGTTTATCTTATCTTAATATGCTGACATCTTTTTATTCCATCAAAAATACTTACTTTAAACGCGATGGTTAGTCTAATACCCTCCGACCATACCTCAATGCTGTCCGTCAGACACTGACGGCGTCCATGTGTCTAGAGAACTTCTCCTCCCAGATTGCAGAACGTCACAACAAGCCTGAGGTCGAGGTCGGGTAAGCAGCAATAACAACATGAATATAACCAGGAATAAAGATATTAAAAGGAGGGTACTCCTTTACTCCAGAGAATTGTACAGCAATTGATACAGTATCAATGGGCAATACTAGAAATATGTTGAGAAATCAAAAAGAGAGGCTGCCTTTTATGAGGTTTGCGCGTTATTTTATATTGTTGACATTTGCTGACATGAGTTCTAAAAAAAAAACTGTATGGTCACTAGTGCTTCAAAGGAGGTTCTTCTTAATCCCCTTGTCATCAGCAGAAATGATAAAGAACGGGTTTTAATCGAGTCATCCGTCAACTCCATGCGCGTCAGCATTGCCATCAAACAAGCAGATGAGATTGAGCGTATTTTGGCTCACAAGTTCACGCGTTTCTTGACCCAGCGTGCAGAGAGCTTCGTTATTCTCCGTAGGAAGCCAATAGAGGTAAAGCGACAAATTACTCCTGAAAAAAAAAAGACAAGGATACATGTGCTTACTTCTTTGTACGGGGCGCTTTTTTGTTCTTGAGACGTATGCAGGTTTATTTTTTGATCCTATTAATTTGTGAAAAAATCCATATTCCATTGTTTCTAGGGATACGACATTTCCTTCCTGATCACCAACTCACATACGGAGCAAATGTACAAGCACAAGCTGGTCGACTTTATCATCCAGTTTATGGAGGAGGTTGATAAGGAAATCAGTGAGATGAAGTTAAGCCTCAATGCTCGTGCGCGTATTGTTTCGGAATCATACCTCTCACAGGTAAAAATAAAAATAAAAATAATGTCCTATTATATAATTTTATTACTATTGTTTTCTTCTCCTTTCTCGCTGGACTGACTGATCATTTCTTTACTTACTTCGCTCACGCTCTTGTGGTACTGTAGTTCAATTAAACCAGATATACGATTATTCAACTTTTAAAACATCAACCTAAAATAAAACAAGGGACAAAAGATACACAACCACGGTTATATATCAAATACTAGCTTCACTTTCACTTTTGTTGCCAGGACTTTACTCCTACACTTTGATTACTGAAGAATTCCTGGAGGGCTACATATACAGCAGCTGCAGTTGAATAAGTGCACGCTTTGGTTTCAGATAATGACTTCCATCACTTTTCAACAAAGCATTATCTACGTAGTCTCAAAACTCTGTCTATTTAGCGTCTAAGTTGAGTGATAGTTCTTTATCTCGACATTTTACGTTTGAATCCGTAAGTCAAGTTAAAAATCTATTTCCCGGGGACTTCCTCTTTACACGCTTTGGCTCCTTACGGGCAGGTACAACATCCGAATCATAGCCGTTCGCTTGATTCGCTTTTAATAGCACTCTAAATGACACTTCCTTCTATGTGCCTTCTTAGCAGGCTCTGTAGAACCCTCTTCACTACTTCTTCTTAAGAACTTTGGCTTGCATTTCTTGCTCTGTAGCACAGATGCGTTCTCATTTTCGTGCGCTTTGGGAGTTCTAAAAGGGAGGGCGGCAGCCTTGTGCTTTGGTTATAGAGCAGAATGCAGTGCCTTTTCTAGATATATCCTTTTAGTTGTTCATATTATAGACTGCGACAATCGTGGTATAAATAAGGTTAAGCAATGTAAACAACATGTGTAGCTTGTTTGTGTCACTTTTGGGCATACAGACGTACTGGTACCAGAAGGGAAATAGAGAGTATAAAAACATCCAAAGGCTAGTAATCTACGTCTCCACTCTCACTCAGAACCCCCAAAGCGCACGAAAATGAGAACGCATCTGTGCTACAGAGCAAGAAATGCAAGCCAAAGTTCTTAAGAAGAAGTAATGAAGAGGGTTCTACAGAGCCTGCTAAGAAGGCACATAGAAGGAAGTGTCATTTAGAGTGCTATTAAAAGCGAATCAAGCGAACGGCTAGGATTCGGATGTTGTACCTGCCCGTAAGGAGCCAAAGCGTGTAAAGAGGAAGTCCCCTCATACATTCAGTACATCTGTCAGCGCTGGAGTCTCTGTACCTCTAGTACCCGGCTCTGGATCCCGGATAAGACCTCGAAGCGCCGCTCTTAGCAGGGAGACTGGCAAGAAGAGCTATGATCAATGTCGTTGTCGTCGGGCTGGACATACCATCTATAAAAGCCAATAACACAGTAAAAGGATAGCCAACATGAAGAGAAAGATGAAAGCAAAGAGAATAAACCGTTAAAGTTTTTCATTCATGTGGACATGATGCTACTCTATTAATCCTGGGCATCCTGTTCGGAAAACCTTTAGTTACAATAGAAAAATATGTACTAATATATGTGTGTGGCGTACTCAATAGCCCAACTTACTTTTTTTGTTTTACAATCGTTACAAATCATCGACAAATAACTGTAAAAGATATCAATAATAAGAATGGTAAAGGCATATTATCGAAAGTTAAAGCAGTCCATAAAAACATGTCTACTTGTCTATGTTACTGTTATTATTATTATTATTATTATTATTATTATTATTATTATTATTATTATTATTATTATTATTATTATTATTACTCCTATTACGATTATTAATTATATTCAAAGAAAATATTAAGAGACGCGTTATAACCGTTATGCTTATTAATCCGTAATATTATTATTATTATTGTACACAGATAGAGTATATAGGAGGATAAGAGGCGCGAAGAGAAGTAAAGCAACGGCGATGACGGATGGTAACTGTGTGGAAATGAGAGGGTAGCATGTAAAAAAAGCCATAGTCCGTCTCAACGACGCTTCAATTTCGTCAGACTAGATCCCACTACAGCCACTACAATGACCGCGACCAGGATCTTGTTGGCCTTTCCTGAAAAGCTTGCTTTGATATTTTCTTTGATCCCATCCCAAAACAGCTTGAACGTACTACTACTATCACTGGTGGATATCCTTAATTTTCCGAGAGCTGTAGTAGATCCTGATGATGTTTTAGTCATGGTGTTGTCAGACTTTTCATCACTGAAATCACTCAATCCCATTCCAACACGCTGGCGCAACCGTGTATGAGAAGCATATGCATCTTTCTTGTTGATGTTATTATTGATGGCTTTATCTGGTGCAGCAATAAGGGTGAGCATGTTATCGTCAGCGACCTTTTGTTGTCCACTTTCGAGGGCGAGATTGACATCGACTGGGTCCATATCCATGGGATTTGCTGGAGTACAGTCATCAAGTGTCTGTGCAAGGGTGCCTTCATTGACGTTGTGATCATCATCTTCTATAGTCTGTGATGCTGCAGCTCTCCAAATCGTATTAGCCTCTTGCTGAGATTCCGCGGCCTTGGCAAGTACTTTAGACTCTTGATAGGGTTTGATTGACGGGATGATTTTGTTGATTGCACGAAGGCCATCAGGCATAGCACTTGTTGAAACTATGGTCGAGAGACGAAAGGAAGAAAAATAAAATTTAAGATGTGCTGCGGCTTGATAATAATACTTATAGTAATAATACTTATAGTAATAATAATAATAATAATAATAACAAATAGCATTGACTTACCCATCTGAATCACCTTCTCAGGAATCCAACCCTTCAGGTCTGCATCCAGGATCTGCACCAGCTTGCAACGAGCTCCATTAGCCTCGGGTGTGATAATATGGCCCGCCACGGTCGTTTCCATTCTCACGATTTTTTCCTTAACTCTCTCTGGCATACTGGAATGATTGATACTCGCATTTACCATGAACAACCCTTCCTTTTTTGACCCGGATCTAGCTCCAGATCCCAAGTCTCGAACAGTACCCAATACCACAGTATCTCGAGAAGCTGTGGGCCAGACAGCCTTTGTTCTCACATATTGAATGGTGGTCCCTGCAGGCTCAGAAACTTCCTCCAAGACCCGGGCCTCCACACACATAGGATCCCATTCCGATCGGCGTTCTAAATCACAGAGCATATCGAATGCCACCGCGGGCGGACTGTCTAAATAAGCAACTATTTTATAACACATAGGTCGGCTCTTGTACTGAAACACTTGAATCCAACTGCTGCTGTTAGTTGGATCATTCGGGTTCTTGACAGAAGGATCCTCGTATACTTTTCCCCAAATGTCTGTTTGGTCAATATAGTCCATAAACTTTTTTTCCATTGCTGCCAATTGCTCCGCATAAGGTCCAGCGAGCTGTTGTTTTGGGGTTGGGGCAATTAGCTCTGAACTAGACATTTCTGTAGCAGTTGCTTCATGATGTTGATCAGTTGATTTTATGATGGATGTGGTTGAGGTTAATTTTAGGTCAATAGGTGGGTTGATTGTAGTAGTGGTGGTAGTAGGCGTTGTTGTCGTTGTGGGCACTAATGGGTTGGCAAGACTAGTTTTAATGGGCTGTAAGCCTTCGACTGATTGGATATGAATAGACTTTCCGCTACTGTTCAGGTATGGGAACACGTTGGATGGGAAGCATCTTTCAGTAAAGTCTGGTAGACCAAAGATTTTCCTGAACGCGATGACAAAGATGAGTTCAAAGAAAAGATAATGAATCTGATCAAGGCCACCATGTAGGAATACTGAATCGACAAGTAAGAAAGGAAGAAAAGAAAAAAAGAAAAAAAAACACACGTCAAATGGCTTTGATCTTTAACATTGTCGATGATCATCAATAAACGTAAACTCCGCAGTCGAAACGGGCTGAGTAATCCTTACATTGGTTGACAAAGTAGAGAAGAGTGTAAGGTGTCACCAAAACAAGCATCGCCAGCGGCGATTGAGTCGTATTCACCATTTTCTTTTGCTTTTCAAACAAAGCGCAATGTCCTCCCTTTGCTCACTAGCAGATGACTTTTGGCCTATGAAAAAAGTAAATAACAAAATGAGAAGAGTCAGAATTAATGGCGCAGTTCCAAAAGAATGGGTAACAGAAAGAGAAGAGGGAGATAGAAAGGATGGATGGAAAATGGGAAAGAAGAAACAGAATCCAGACTCATTGGGGACAGAATGAATCGTCATTGTTCCTTTTATTACAAGACTGGGTATGGCATCGCATGATAAAAGTAGATCATACATAATACACACATACACATCTAGGGTGCAGAGAGAAGGAATAAGGGGAAGAAAGAGAGAAACAAGACCAACATAGACATCATGGGGGAGACTTTTAAGTGAGAAAGTGATGTACCTAAATAGGAATTACGATATGAACAGGCAAATAGATTAGGGTTAATGTTGAAAAAAAGGGCGAAGCAGTTGTGAACAGGAGCAGGATAGAAAGAGAGAATGAGGGATGAGTGAAGCGATTAGAGGGATGGATGCAGAATGTCAAAGAGAATGAATGAACAAGAAGAAAAAGCGAGCAAGTGAACAAGTGTAGGAAGTAAAAAAAAAAAAAAAAAGCCTGAGAGCAATGGTCTCCACAAACACAATCAACTTTAACTTGCATCGCATCACAGACAATAAAATCACACCACTTTTTTCGTGCATGGAACTGACTGATAAAAGATTTAAAGTTTATCTTGCAACGAACACATCCATTTGTCTATTCTACTCATGGAAAAAGGGCCTCAGAGCAATTGCATCCTTACAAAAGTATGCAACTTTTTTTTTTTTTTATTTTTTTTTTTATTTTTTTTTTTTATAATTATTATTATTGTATCAAAACGTTTCCGCTATTTTACCCTCTTTTCTTTTTTTCTTTTTTTTTCTTCCTTCTTTTAAATGCCTGTCACCGTGGTCCCCATTCTGATAGTTTGCATCACTTTAGCCATCCCTGCTTTAAAGTATTCGGATGCCTTCACACGGTTCCTTGACAACGTACCCAAAAACACCACAAGCCCTACAATCACCATCAGTTGGTTGGTACCCATCTGATTTGACGCCTTCTTGACCATTTCAACATAATGCTGCATCAACGCCATCAGCTTGGCTTGCATAGTCAACACAGAAACAGCTGCACTACCACCATTAGTCTTTACCCCTTGTTTGGGCGAAGTCACTAATTTGGTCTTGACTATAGGAGATGGCGATGCACCGCCCGAAACAGACTTTTTAACGCCATTTGCCTCAGCATTTGATACAGGCAACAAATCTGGAGTAGAATCAATCGAATTAGCTGCCGTTGCCGCTAAAGACCCCATGGTCGAGGTTGAAGATAGAGTTGGCGATGAAAATGAAGTCGATGCAGCCGATGGCGATGCTGAAGTCGACAAAGACTTTGCTTCCAGTGCTCCAGAACTCTGCTGCTGTGGTTGCTTCGCGATTGCTTTTTTAGGCCTCAATGATTTCTGGTGGAGCCTGTCCAAAATCTTGCCATAAGTCTATCAAATACAATATGTATAATAGTAATAATAATTAGAGATCAATGCACAATAAAAAAAAAAAAAAAAAAAAAAGGACAGAGACGCACTAAAAAAAAAAAAAAAAAAAACTATATTCCCCGCATTACGGAGTTAAATTGATGTCAACTCACGACAAATGCATCATCCCTTCTAATTTTTTTTTTCTCTGTTCTCACTTTGGCCTTCCGGTTTCATCATCTTTTCCCTCTTTGTATGATTGAATTGTTATTTTTTTATGACTATGATCTTACCTTCTTAGTAGAATCTGAGAGAACGCTATTGAACTGCAAAAAGTTAGTCGCACAATCCCACTCGCCTAACTTGGCTAATACATGGATCAAGTATAACTCCACAAGTCGTTCGTAATTGGTCATCAATGGGTCCTTCTGGCCAGAAGCGGCAATCTCCTCATGTGTCAAGGAAACTCCAGCAGCTGTCTCTAAATGAATTAACATGTCATCTGGAATCGTTGCAAGATATGCTTCCACAATTTGTCTTGCCAATGCATACAGCTTTTGGTTGATACATAACAATGTGCTAATAAAGATAATAAAATAATAATAAGGAAAAAAAAAAAAAAAAAAAAAAAAAAGATTAAAATTAAACAAGGCCATAGAGAAGACTTTTAGCTTTCTGACCCCGGAAATGAAAAATGATAATTCACAATGCGAGTGATAAAGTGATACAGAAAACAATACATCATCCCAAAAGGAACACAAAACGACCAAAAGCAGTGTCAAAGGAAGTAATCGTTTGCTTACAATGATACCATGATCTGACCATCAACATCCCCCTCCAATCCTCCATAGTCATCCACCAAACGTCTCCATAAATCCTTGACCAATTTTTCGGGACTATCCTTGATTGATCCTGAGATTCTTTTCCTAGATGAGGATAACAAAGTACTGCTGGCATAGCTGTTGCTATAGTTGTTTCCTGCTGTTGCTGCTGCCGCTGCTGCCTGAGCTGATGCACGATCCGATAACACCGCTCCAAAGATCGTGGCATGAAGAATCCATAATTTTTGTTTCAACACAAAGAACGAACGCCGGGTTGACAGGTCCGGAGAGTGATCAAGGCCATAATCTTGGTTAGTCCGGGCAAGCAGCTCCAATGCTTCTAAACTAGTTGTATATGCAGCTGCCAGTTGACGAAGAAGGAAAGTGGAGGTAGCTTTATGATAAAGGCCCAAAATTTGAGCTAGTGGATGATGCTGACTATCCTCATTGTGGGCCGAGGCTGATAAGGTAGGAGTGGAAGTGTCTGTGACAGTCTTGGAATCAAGAGAGGAGGAAGAGGAAGAGGTGGAAGTTAGTGATGCAGTGCTGTCACTGAGGTCTGTGGCGATTGACTGGTCAGCAACGGCAGGCAAAGACATGGATGGATTTGACTTTGGTGACAGTGGAGGAGTGAGGAAAGAAGTATCAGTCATTTACAATGGACAAAAAAAAAAGAAAAAGAAAAAAGGAAGAGTATACTAGAAAAGAGTAGAAAGACAAAGGATGAATAATGAATGAATTGATTAATTCAAACTAAGGAAGGAATGGAATGATAACAATGACAAGAAGCTTATGGCTTTGTAGGGAATTCTTTTGGAGCAACTGTGGGGGAGCCGAGCGGACAGGAGAAAAGACACGGAAGACCGACTGGAGGAAAGTGAACAAAACTGTACGGGGCGGGGAAAAAAAAAAATATGGTGTACACAGCGAGACACATGAAAATAAACCTCAATGCACGTGGCAGTCTCGTGATTACTTTATTGTGTTACTATCGCTACTCTTGATGTTCACGCAACAAGGTTGCAAGTCGCTCTAAAGCCGGACCCATGTCTTCTTCCGCCACATCCGAAAATGACGTTCGCACATATGGACTGGACCCATCTCTCTCTGGATGACTTAAGAAATCCACCCCGGGGATTATCAATACCTTCTTCTCCTTCGCCTTGTTCATAGCCAGATCTGTAGAGTCCTTAATACCCTTTAGTTTCAGCCAAACAAATATTCCCGCGTTTGGTTCCGTAAACTCTGCTAAACCTTCAAGGTGCTTGCGTGCATACTTGCAAAACACTTGGCTGCGTTTATGATAGAATGCAGCCACGTGACGTGTATGCTCATAAAATCCTTGATGACCCCAGTTTTTTAACAGCGTGTATGCAACAGCTTGCGCTACACCTGATGACATTAGATTGGACGACTAGATTTTTTTTTTTTTTAGTGAAAGAAAGAAATTGTGAACAAGTGGGATGGTGTTGATGATTGTCCCATGTAATTATTGAATTATTTTTTTTTTACCTGAGTAATCATGTTAATGGTTTCGATCAGTTCCGAAGGTCCAGTTGCCCATCCAATACGCAATCCAGCTGATAGAACCTTGGACATACTATCGAATCGCAAGACTCGTCCATCCACATCCATGGACAGATATGAAGGGACCAATTTCTCATCGTACTGTAAATAATAATATGGATCATCCTCAAAGATCAACAGACCATGGTCTCGAGCAATCTGATAAATTTCTTTTTTACGTTCTAATGTTTGGCTCACACCAGAGGGATTGCTTCCATGGGGCACTGTATACAATGCCTTGGGCTTTCTTCCGTTTTTGTCAGAAGACCAGTTTTCCAACTGTTTTCGTAACTTTGAAGGAACGATCCCATATGAATCCAATTCAACGTCTAAGTAATAATAATATAGATTCCATTGCGAACTCGCATTAGAATGCATTACAAAAAAAAAAAAAAAAAAAAAAGGGTAATTTTTCCTCTTCTATCTCATATTACCGATAGTATTGCAAGGCTGATGCCGCAGGAAAGTGCAAACAGGGTCATACCCAGGCGATTCGAGGAGAATGCTGTCGCCATCGTTGATCAACATATAAAGAGCCTTTGTGATCAGATCTAGCGACCCTGTCCCAATAGTTATTGAGAATTCTCGTGGAGGCGCATGATGTTTATGCTGGAACTCCTTGAGCCAGGCTGTCAATTGAGGGATACCTTCCTTATAAGATTTAGGAACGAAAATAATAAAAACTAATTAGACATTTTGAATTGATTATTATTATTATTATTATTATTGTTATTCATGTTTACTTACAGTTAGACTATAGTTCAAAGAGCTCTGCAAGGTATCCGGATCAATGCTGAGTTTCTCTCCGGTCTTGAGTAAAAGGTCAATGCCTTCATATGGAATCATTTTAGGATTGAGAGAACCTGATCCAAGTGAGATCTATTAGATTCAGAGAATAACAACATCAGATAATATTAAACAAAAAGGAATGCTACTTTTTTTTAGTCTATCCATGGCTTAAAAATGAGCAAATCATAAAATAAATCAGCCATTGCATACCATGCCTGGGATTTCTTTAAGAGGCACTAGACGCCCGACTATTTAAAAAAAAAATTGAGTAACAGAGAGTGAGAGTTCCGTTTAATAATCACAACCGAAAAAAAAAAAAAAAAAAAAAAAACATACTGGCGCTTGGCTTCCTCGACTTTGAAGATTCGCTAAGGTAATCCTGATAATTGACTTGGGTCGCCATGTTTGCTTTGCTTTGTTTTCTTTTAACTTTACTGGTACTGTTAGATAGAGAGTAAGAGGAGTAGGAGAAGATGTGGGGGAAAAAAAAGAAGTTCAACATTTTATATAGTGTTCGAAAATGTAATGGTCCCCTCTGACTCGAGAGAAAAGGGTCTTTACTGCCCCTCGCTGTCCTTACTGCTACTTCGTTACGACAGCAAGATATAGATCTAGCACAGTTATAGCTTTATTTTTTAGGATGTTTTGTGCCATGTATATACAGTACCAGGACAAAATGTATCTGGAGTATTCTATTTCAATGCAATGGAGCTAGAAAAAGCTTAGTAGGACTTTATTTACTGCCTGGTTGGCTCCACAGCCAATGAAAAAAAAAAAAGATATACAATTCTTTATTGTACATCAGACTAATTAGTGTATCGTACTGATGTACTTACTGAACATACGAATATGAAGTTTTTTTCAGTAAGTACTTACTGAAATTTACTGAAACGGTAAAAAAAAAGTAAGTACTTACCGATTTTAACTGGAAATTTACTGAAAAAACTTCATGTTCGTTTGTTCAGTACATCAGTACGATACACTAACATCAGTCGCGTTTGAAAATGCGTTTAGGTGTATTTGGGTGTCTGTCTTTTATGAAAAGTGTGCACTCAAAAAATATCTATAAGATATTTTATTTTATTAAGTAATTAATTAGATAAAAGAAAGTAAGAGTTCTCCTCGCCCTTTTTTCATTGCCACATGACATTGTGCACTCAGTCTAGCACATAAAGAGGTGTAGCAGGTTCTTGACTTGGCACAAGGTGAGTAGGAAAGGGGCATTTACCGATAAACTTTTCTGGGCCTAGATCCTCTACTTTATATCCATTAGGATAGACAGGTTCATATTTGTTATGCGCTGGCACATACTTGCCCTCGCTGTTAGCCCTCACCCCTGTGCGAACATGAGGCAGCCGACGAGGAAGCATGAAGTATCGGACGAACAGGGCCCTAGCCTTGAGCGTCGCTCGGATCAATGTGGTCACGCCCAAAGGTGGTGGGGCCACCTTGAACGCCGCACGCAGTCGTGGTGTCAGTAATGCAGAGACAGCATGGCGGCCAAACGGATGCATGAATTTTGGTGCGAGGCTCAGCAGTAAATCCGTGGTTACTCCTGCGATCTTGGCATTCGTCGGTGCATAAACAGAGTTTTGCCGTTCATATTCCTAAAACGTAGTATTTATTTGTTCGTTAAATTCTGTTGATATCTCAAGGTATGGTGTTCTAGTAAATCCAAAAGCATGCCTAACTTACATCACACCAAGCCTTAAAATCTTCCTTGGTTTCGGGAATGTTTTTAATGCCCATTCTCTTTCCATGGTGTGCCCAAATAGCAAAGATGGCCTAAATAAGGATGGCGGAAATCCACTGGGTTAGTACTCTAATAACTTGTCAATGTTGCCAGCCTAATTTAAACCATACGTCTCTATCTGTATGCCCAAAAAAACAAAAGCGCTAGAGTGATCGCTCATTCAGAAATATCTCCATATATCACCTTCAGAGGCCTCAATGATCAAATCTTTCGACAAACTGGAGCCTTTACTCTTCCACGCCCACAATGTATCACTGGAGTATTATACCCCAGCGACATTTTTATAAGTGAACGAGAAAATGGTTTGATCCTCTGGTCGAATTGTTCATACTGTTCATATGAAAAACAATTCAATACCCAAGGGGATTGAAGGCCTTTTGTTCATGCAAGGCATTGTACATATCCATTTTTCCTATAAGCTCGAGGATCGATTCTTTTGGGGTCCTAAAGTGATGTTAACAAGATAAGAGTGCGCCACCAAGAACTTTAACCTCTCAAACACTCGTTTTCCTGCCAGACGTCTCAACGTCAAGTGGAGGAGAACGAAGAACCTTTCAGCGGTACGTTTGAAGACATTCACAAACCCAGATATTTATAAATAAATAAATATAAAAAAAAACGCTTCTTTCTAAAACCAATTGTGCCGTGAAGCAATGTACAGTGTACAGGACGGGAGAAATTACTTTGCCCCCTTCCGTTCTACTTAAAGTTTATACACATTACCAAATGGGGCTAGGACGTTGAGAGTGTGTAACCTTAATATTCTGCTGTACTTACATTCTTTTCTAGCTCCGTCAGGGGTCTCCATTCAAATTGGGCAATGAATGATGGTGGCTCCTCTATGAAAAGTCCGAGTGTATAAAGGAAATCCTCCTGCTTGATATTGTATCGTCCATGTAAAAAGTTCAGCTTTGTCATGGAGATTTCATATCGCTTCTCATCATTCAATATCTCATTCGGATCCTCCTTGCCCTCCAACATGCACCTCCGAAGATTACGAGCGTACGGCTCTGTCAATTCCAGAAGCATGAGGGATGTGTCATCAGCTCGCTTGAGAACGTTGTTTTCGAACTGCTTAGTGGCAGCCAAGATCTTGGAGATCGTGGGGATTGCATAGGTCTTGTAGAGTGCAAACTCCAGAGAAACGATATTCATGTAAGGGAAATCAAACTCATCTACGATTGCGGCGACCTCCTTGGCGACCTCAAAGTTACGGAGAGGAATGGTTGGGTCTGGATATTTTTTTAGGGCAGCATTGATACGCTTATATCGGAAATAACGCACAACAGCCATGTAAGAAAGAACGAGTGCTGCATATTTGGCGCCTGGAGAAGATGTGACCACATTGAGAAGTATATCCATTATGAAAAGAAGAATAAGAAAGATGAGGAAGATAAGGAAGATGAGGGAGATGAGGAAGATGAGATGAGAAAGATGAGAACGATGAGGAAGAGAATGAGAAAGGCGAAAAGGTTGGAAAGGTAAAGGCACTTATTACTCCGAAAAACTTAGTTGTCAATGGGTTCACACCAATGTCCTGCAAAAATCTATAGTCGCTTTGCTGCCCCTTTTTTCGGCATATAGTCACGTGGAAGAAAACACGCGTTCGTTGATATCGCACCTCTTTACATGGAGTTTCCAAGTAAAAAAAAAAAAGTAGATACCATCACTCGCGCTCCAACTTTAGGACGATCTAAGGCGCTGGATTGACGGCATATCAAGAGCATCGTATGTCATGCCAAAGAGGAAACGAGGATCGCTCTTAAGAATATTACCAATCCATTGCATATCGCACAGTGCGCTTATTTCAAAAAAAAATAAAGTCTCACACATGTGTGCCGCTACATACCTTTCCTATAAACTTCCAATATAGATACATTATCCAAGTTGCCCACATGTCTTCGGCATGCTTTTGATAAAAATTTCAATAAATACTCCATGGCTGTGGTGTGTGGGCCCACACCTGACCTTCATTTACTCATCTATCTGTTTACTTTTCTGCCAAAAGCTATTCAAGTAAGAAAACCGTTGCTCGGGTACTACATTCGCTAGGCATTTCCAGTTGGGCTGCAGTTCATAAACTGTCCTTAAATGGACAGCGTATAAAGAGTCAATTAAGGCTCATAAATATATATATATAAGGGACGGTCCAAGGAAGACTGGGATCGAGTAGCTTGGACTGATGAGTCATCTTTTGGAGTTGGTGGGTACTTTCGTCGGACAAGGGTTTGGCGTACGGCGGAGGAGAAGTCTATGGCGGTTTGTAACATTCATATGAAGGATAATACACCAGTCCGTACTTGCAAGGCCGTGAAAAGAACGGATTCCAGACTGGACTGCATGCTTTGCACGCCCGAGTCTATCTGTGCTAAAGGAAAAGAAGAACGGTATTTTCGTGCTTGTAGCAAAGCAGTACAGAAACGGCACGAGCCTAGAGAAGAAACAACACGGACTTGGAGCAGAAAGTGCACGGAGCTGGGGCGAAAACTGCATAAACCTAGCATCACTCATACTTGGTCATCTCAGCTTGGACTTACAGCGAGTAAGAGTCTTGACAAAAAGATAGAGATGGAGAATGTGACAAATGATAGTTCAGGATCATCAATTAGGCTTAGTTAGGCTCAGGTGCGCTCACAATACTTCGCAATCCTTTCACCATTTAATACAGTATGGTCACTTCTCGTGGATGCACTCAATTTGCCTCCCAAAGAGCCAAAAGATCCCGCTTTCACACAAACTCTTGTTGAAGAGAAGGATAATTAACCGCACGAGAAGCTGACTGGAGGAAGTGAACGGGGCTAAATAGAGCACTCGTTAATGAGCCCGTTTAACGCTTTCATTATTTTTATGTAATACGTAATATGACACCAGAACCCTGATTATTAGCACTTAGGACCAGTGTAAAGTTTCATATCCGAGGATATCGTCTGTTAATCTATGCGTGGTTAAATGTTTTATTTCGGCTCGGACTTGAAAAGTATTCGTTTTTCAAGGAGGAATCTCATGTCAATTCCTTTGATTCCTTACTTCATTCATTGACATTTGATTTCGCTTTATTTATTCATTCATTCATTCATTTCCATACAAGATGTCTTCTTTCACAACTGCACCGCCGTCTCCAGATGGAGAAACCAGTATGTTTGATGGGTATTCTCTTTTTATCTATATTATTAATAATGAAAAAGCTCACAAGTAAGAATATGAAAGTCATAACCTGTTGAATATTCTTTGTTTAGATAACACAATTATTGAAAGCATGCTGGATTTAGAGGAGATAGATAAGGATCTATATCGATCCAAGAAGCTGTGGTTACCCATGGGCGCACGAGGCGTATTTGGTAGGATGATTAAAACTTCATTTCTCTTTATTTTTTTTTGCTGCTTCTACTTTCCTTAAACAAAGTCCACTCTCTCATGCATCATATATACCACACGTTATATCTATAACATAGGCGGTAATGTAGTCGGTCAGGCATTGGTGGCAGCGACCAATACTGTGTCCAGTCATTATTCGGTGCATGTATGTTAGTTGAATCTACATCAATTGGCCCAAGGTGCCTTTTTACCTGAAATGCAGATTACTAAACATCTATCTTTTTTTCTTTTTCTATTTGTTTTAGTCGTTGCATTCATACTTTTTACTTCCTGGAGATCACTCAATTCCAATTCTCTACCAAGTTGAACGTGTTAGAGATGGTACATACACTTTTATTCCTATCGATTGAACTTGAAGGGAAAAAATAAGACACAATCCAGCATTCCATAACACCGCTCTATAATTGATCTCGTAGGGAAATCGTACTGTACTAGAACAGTAACAGCAAAGCAACGTGGAAAGAGCATTTTTGTGTGCACAGCTAGTTTCCAAGTTCCTGCCCCTAATGCACCTAGTCATCAATATCCCATGCCAGATGTCCCTCATCACAGTACACTTCCTAGTCAAGAAGAACTCATCCAATCTATGATCGACAACCCTAAAGTTCCAGAGTCATTTACCGAAATTCTCAAGATGCGCCTTGCGGAGGTATTTTTTTTTCTGCTTCCTTGGTGTTGCTATTGATGTTCTAGTGTTGCTTGTTTATTATACCTATGCTAAGCTAACCACTGTCCTCAATTACTGATATGGAATCTTATATGTTAAAAAGCCATTGGCATTAGATTTTAAAGACACACGGAAACATAGTCTGAAGGATATTACGAACCCGCCAAAGCGTACTGAACAAATGTTCTGGATGAAATGCAAGGGCAGACTTGGAGATGCCCTTGCGCTTCACCAATGCGTTGTTGCTTATGGCTCTGACCATAATTTATTGGGAACTATCCCTCTAGCACATGGTGCAACTTGGTTTTCGCGCCTGGGACCTAACCCCAGGATCACCATGATGGCCTCCTTGGATCATTCCATGTGGTTCCATTGTCCATTCCGTGCAGATGAATGGATGCTCTACGTGTGCGAAAGGTGAGTAGGCGAAAGAAAGAAAGAAGAGGGATGACAAAACAAAGAAATGGCTCCATGAAAATGGATTCGTTAAGCTTCAATATTTATTGATGACCTGTTTATTTATTTCAACATTAATTTTAGTCCTCGATCTGGTTGCGATCGTGGATTGACATTTGGAAGGATTTACAAGGAAGATGGTACTCTAGCTGTATCGGTTGCTCAAGAAGGAGTAGTACGCATGAAGCCAAATAAGAATGCTGATCCTAAATTGTAGCTTGGTTGATCGCTCGAATAACTTGATATAAAAAGAGAACATTCTTTTTTTTTTTTTTTTTTCGCACATGCTATGCTTTCACGAGTTTAGTTGAGAGCATCACCAACCACAATAACTTATTCAGTCACACAAATGATTAAACTTGGGCGCATGGTCTGACCAATCGAGCGTCTCCAAATCAGCTTGATACCTAAAAATATATAAAAATGTTGAACCACTCTTAAGTCTCCACGCAAGTTACACATCTTGACATTTGTGGAGCTCTCCATCAAAAAGCATTTCTTTTTCACTACCATCCAAATTATTCTACTTCCCTCTCTTTCTCTCTCTTTCTTCTTCCCTTCATTAAAGCAACAACAATCAAGCAGCTCTCACACGACACGGACTGGACCTGTCATAATATTCTACAAACATCTTAAACAGCAATATACTTTTTCCTCGTAATAACAAATACACCATGACCACTGCAACTCCCCCCGCCATTCGTGTCCGTAATGGTAAGACATCAGACTATTTTGTCTTATACTTTGATAAGATATGCATCTTTTGAAATTAAACATATTCATTCATTTTGCTTTTACAATTAATATAGCCAAATATCAGGCTAATGTCACAAAGCGTGGCCAGGTCAAGTCATCAACTCAGGCAGAGAAGAAGGCAGCCAAAAAATCAGTAGTAAACCCATATCTCGTCGCATTTCTGTTGGTTGTTCTCTGTGGCGGAGCCTTCTTTGAGGTCCTCAAATTGTTCGGCGCCGACATCGATAACTAAGAATATGAAGGAGATAACTCCATGATAACACTTGACAGCTGGGCTGGACAGTTTTACATGGCGGGATAACACAAAATTGATAAGACCAGATAAAGAAAAAAGGATCGGCTCCACAAGGGAAGGCATCAGGACATATTTGTCCCTTTTGAACAGTACCATCCTAAGGGTGTAATATATTTTTGAAAATTAAATAGTAATAATAATAAACGTTATATTCAAAAAACAAGGCATGTTGAATTAGCATTAAAATGCTGCGGTCAGACCAAAAACAATGGTCGATGCTAGGCTCGTCACCAGCCTGTGTGGCTTATGTGCATTGCACTAACGCTCACTGACAGGCTGCCAAACTTGAGATTTTGGGGGGGGGTCAACATTTTTCTTCAAAAAAAATTTCTAAGTCGTACAAACGGCGGGGAAATGGTCCTTTTTTTTTTTTCTAAGTCGAAATATGCCGCTAGATGTTGACCCCCCAAAATCTCAAGTTTGGTCCCAGCCTGTCAGTGAGCGTTAGTGCAATGCACATAAGCCACACAAGCTGGTGACGAGCCTAGCTGGATGCTTGTGTGGTTGTGTGGTCTCTGTGTGTGACTGTGATCCAATTGAGACTGTGGATAAGAGAAAAAAGAAGAAGAATTGTTCTGTACGTGTACGTGGAAGCGATAGGAGATTTGAAAGATCATTCGTCATTTCAGAAACTCTATTTCTTTTAAATCGACTTCAGGCGCAGTTCTTGGTATGCTATTTTTATCAAAAAAAAAAAAAAAAAAAAAAGCCAGCACCGCCCGCTTCTGACCTGACAGAGGAAAAACAAACGCACTGTCCTGTCCTGTTTGTTTGTCGTCATGTCATGGTCAGGTCGACATCATGCCGATTGCCCATGCCTTCCTCAATAGGTCATTGATAAGAAGTCGACGAAGGTGAGAATATAAAAGACCACTGAATGCCCCCATGTCTCACTCCTTGTTCCTCGAGTTTTTTTTTGTACATTTTTCACTTGTAACATTAGTACACAGTTCAACATTCACAAAACATTTATCCACATTCACATCCATACGTCCATCATCCAACACAAATTCACCTCTCTTCCACTCTTCCAACCTTTCTTATCAACATCACCACTCAATTCTTCCTTGAATGCGTATCTCACATAACAACGTCATCTGCTCACTCTCGGTGCTTGGATGTCTCCTTGCATCCATGGGCACATTCCAACATTCCTCACATCAAGGTAAGAACAAAGGAGCCTCTTTTCTGGATTACTCTTTAATGATATATATCCTGATCTTGTTCCTTGAATGGTAAATTTGTGAGTTCAAATTTTCCGCTCGCTTTGACATTATTGGAATAACACCGCCATGATGTCTCCTTTTCGCACTTGTCTCATCCTATTCTCCCCTTCCTTAAAGATCTGCCACTGGCGGGTCATTTTTAGTGTTTGTTTTTGTTTTTTTTTTCTAAAAAAAATATTCTGGTTTCTTACGCCCTTTTTTTTTGTACTCTTGGGTCATGCATGTAGCCTTCGCAGCCCCTATACGCCATCCCCTCTCTACGACGATATCCAATGACCGCCTCACCGCCCCCGATCTTACTCACTTCCCATACACTGTCACAGGCGCAGTTCCGCCGTCGCTTTATCATCCAGGACAGGTCTTGGATTCATGCATACAACCAAACTCTTACGCCATCTCGTTTGATGATGGACCAGGACAACTCACAGACGAATTACTTGATTATTTGGATGAGCAGAATATCAAAGTGACATTTTTCATGAACGGCGACAACTGGAATTGTATATACCGTAAGTTTTTTTTTTTTTTTTTTTTTTTTTTTTTAACATTAATAATAGATATTCGCTTCCAAAAAAAGAAAAAAAAAAAAAAACGCGATATCTTAATAGTTTGGTGTCTTTTATATATTTTATATCACTAGGTTACGAATCTCAAAGACTTCTAAAACGCGCATTCAACGCTCAACATCAAATTGCAGCCCACCCATGGTCTCACCGGGATTTCCAGACCCTCACGGATGGTGAGATTCGTGAAGAAATGCACAAGATTGAGGATGCATTCCGTGAGATCTTGGGTGTTGTCCCAAGGTATATGCGTCCTCCATATGGCGAGCACTCGAAGCGTGTCCGCAAGATCATGGAGGAGATGGGATACTTGATGATTCTCTGGGATGTCGACCAGCTTGACGAACACGTTGATGACGATGATATATATTCGGACGATAACTACGAGTACGAAAATGAGCGCCATGAACACGGGGAAGAAGAAGAGGAAGATGAAGGGATCCACATTAACAGTAGTCATGGTCAGACTACTATGGCTTCTACCCCTTCTTCTACACACAGACATCGTGTTCAGAGTTCCTTTTCTTCCAAATGGGCGGAAGCTGTCCGTGGTGTCCCTCATATGGCCCTTGATCGTGATACCATGATGATGGGTGGCATTTATCAAGAGGCGACAAGCACATGGGCTGTCGAGTATGTCCAAAACTTGGGATATAACATCATGCCCGTCGGAGCCTGCATGGGTGAGACTGACCCCCGACTCTGGTACAAGGAGATTGTCAAGCCTGCAGAAGAGGGCTCCATTCCCGAGACCTGCTACATCCCTTAACGCGCAATAACAATATCAACAGCAGCAATAACAAAAAAAAACTAGTGTATATAGCATTTGTCATATAACATCAACCCTCCCCACTTTCCAACATTGTATATTAGTCAACAAGCATCATTTTGTTCTTTATAAAAATAGATTAAAGTGTTTTGAAAGGAACAGAATATTCACCAAAAGCCATGCGCAAATGAACATTAATACATGATAACAATTTTGTTCTTTGCTTACCGTCCAGTAGTATCAGAGGGAAAATGTGATGATTAGAATGTGGACGGCGCGTAAAATACGCATGATGGTGAGGGGTGGCAAAAAAAAAATTCCAGTCGCTCACTCATCCTTTCCAAGCAGGGATCCTGTGATAGCATTTGAAAATGGTCCTCTAGGGCCATTCAAAAGTATTGCTTAAAATGAACGGTCAATAAAGTCTTTCAAGCACTAAATCCCTTTTGATTTATGATTTACTGCCCATTGTGCTATCATTATCTTATCGCCTTGTTGTCTTTGTGTTCCTTTTCAAAACCATCTGTAGTTATTATACTAGTTGATGATGATTTGTAACAATCCCAAGCACTGGGGATTTCTTTATTTTTTTTATAAACAAAAAAGAAGTGTTACCACATTCTTTCTTTCTTTCTTTTTTTTTTTTTTTTTTTTTTTATTATAATCCATACCCTTACGAAGAGGGTGACCACGGCAAATAGGTAAACATCATGTTCGCATGAGTGAAGAGCTTTGTGGCCTATTCTCTTTTTCTTCATCATTCTCTCCGCTTCAGCCGTTCTTCTGCTGTATTGGTGGCTCCTTACAGCCACCATGTCCCGTCGGACGATGCCGTCGATCCTAGCCCTTTTTGCCACTACTTCCGACTTTGCTTCTCCGGGAGCTCCAGTCCTCCTTGTACATCCCGTAGGAGGAGTGCCTCAGGAACTCAGTGCCAGTTGCGCACTGGATTTTCCACCACTTTTTGCAGTCGCTGAGTTGGCATGATGGCCCTTGTAGCTGGATCTGCCCTAGCGGATCCGGTTGTCTTGGCCTGGTATAGCGACCCTATGGTGGCAATCTCGGATGGCTGTTTCCCTACCCTGACTGCTTTTCCCTCTTCGGCTTCTCTTTGAGACTTGGCAGCAGCCAACTTTCGCGACCTGCTACGGGTCATGTGCACGGAGGTGAAATATGTTTGAAAAGCCTTTCTCCGTGCACGCTTTGGCTCTCTTGGGCCAGCTGTAACATCCGATCCGCAGCCGTTTGTTTCGCTTTCATCGCATTCCCGACGACGCTTCCTTCCATGCTCTGTAGTCTGTATTTCGTGATGTGGCAGTGCATCTGTCTTTTTGGATGTGCTCTTCTCAAAGCTAAAACCCTATAGACTTGTAACTTCTCTTTTCGCATATGATGGGCACAGTCAATATAAAAAAAATAAAAAAAATAAGAGAGTCTGAATAGAGAGCATTTGATTGCGGAATATGCATGAAAATACCCTACACAAGCTATACCATTGCGTTCCTGTAGTGCTGCCTTAATGATGTCTGTACTTGGCCCATTAGTAGGTCTGACGCTCTTGGAAATGGAGATTAAAGTCTTGCACGTCCCCCAATGTGATGTCTATTTCCTTAATTAGAGAAAGTTCAGTGGTGGCCTTGAAATGTTCATAAGCGAGGAGATAGTGGGATATTTCTACCACCCTTCCTTGTATTTTTGTCCTCGTGTAAGCTGAATTGGGGCCACCTTGGCCACTTAAAAGAAGGGTGACGAGACGGAAGGAATAGTCTGTGCTGTCTAAGACCTCATCCAGTGCCTCTTTCCTCGACCTTGCTGCCCCTGGTAACCGCATGGTCCTCTCAATGTCCAAGGCAATCGCCCAGCATGCATAGCGGCGTAGTTGGTTGAGGACAACAACTGCCCCTCGGATCTGGCTTGTAATATTATCCCTTTCATCTGCGTCCAGTCCGCCTTTCCTTGCCATAGAAGCCTTGAGGGGTCCAATTGTTAAGGCCTTGATAGGGTGCTTACTGCTGTAGCTGTGATCAACCTTCGTAGCATCCTTCTTTTTTGGCCCTCCGAGGCTTCTTGCCTTTGTGCTTCCACTTTTGTTTTTTCTGTTGCTTCTTTTTTGCCTTTCTCCGACGTGGTGGATGCTTAAGGCCCGGCCTATCGTGCTAATGGCAGTTACTGATATCAACTGTGCGCCCACTCAATATGCTCGGCTTGTCAGAAAAGATGGGCCGGAACTGGCTTCTATGTGATCCTTTGCATTGAGTAGACGCTGCTTGAGGTTATCGAACTCATTGTTCGATGGTAACGCTTGGGCCGACGTTTGATGGCCGGAAGTAAAAACGCGGGAAGCTACTCTGAAACGGCCTTCTTCAGAGGCTACGTTCCTCCCTAGGTTCTCACCAGCCTCCCTAAGGTAATCTCGAAGCATTCATTTTATTGTAGTTCTTGTTCCACGCAATCTTTCGAACTAATCGTAGATTATTAATCGGGCCCATCGTCTCGAGGTTCCTTGGGTAATCATTGCCTGCAGTGGCACAGAATAACACTAGATGTTCGTGTGATGGCAGGTTTAGTGCTTGGATAACGTTATCCACGTCGTAAACCCCAAACTTCCGTCTACGGTGTGGGAGGGGTCGTACTAGGATGCAGACTCGTTCGTACGCAAAAAAATCAGAGTCTTGGGATATCACGATCCTACCATTCTCCTCATTATGGCACCCTATGCATGGGTCCGCTTCATATGCACACAGGCAGACATCGAAGACAGAGCTAAGGGCTGTTGCCAGCTGATTCTTGTCCTGGGTGCTCAGGGTGTGGACTTCTCGAAGGCCCTTCTGGATGCGCGGCATGACTTGAGGACGAGTCCAAACCCCGTTCCGAGAATTTCTCTCGGTGTTCGTATCTAAGCACCCTTTCTTACTGGACGGTACCTTGTTAATGGTGATATTGTACAGTGCCTTGTGGATGGAGGGAGAGCAGAAGCGAGATTAATACCGACGCGTTTGAGTTCCTTTCCTAGGGATTGTTATAACTATGGTATGGTTGTGGAGTGACCGTCAAATGAAGTTTGTTTATTTCTTCTGGAGGCTCCATTGAAATTGCTTAGAAAACAAAAAAAGACGCCGCAATGCAAAATGTGTTTCTACATGTGCAGAAATCAAAGAGACGTTTCAGCTGTTTATTCAATAGCCTGTGCATGTTCGTGTCCACACAATTGACAGTGATTGACGAACAAAAAAGGAAACAAGATTTGTAAAAAATATTCTCGCCAAATATTTAAAAAAAAAATTCGCGATGGATGCAAACAACAAAGAAGCACAGCAACTGTTTGCTCGTATACATTTTTTTTTCACCGTTGGTGTGCCTGTATGCCTTTTAAGCTTCCTGTCTGGCCGTTTAACACAGGGAACCCCCAGAAAAAAAATACCTCACTCTGTTGCCAAGGACTTGAAAATGGATACAAACCCCTTCTTCCTTGTTCTCATAATCGCTCACATCCTCTCAATACTTTCTTTCGCCATAAATGTCCATTACATCTGAATCATATACAGGCATTTCACCATTCACTCCAACATAGATATGTGTATCACCTTGGGTATGATATGTTGCTGTGGTTCCCTCTGGTTTCAACAGGCTCAACAAACTCTATTAGCAGTGCTTACCCACCCAGATATATCAAGGGAACGCAAGAAGACGAGGAAGCAAACGATCTGACAAATCAAGTCGCGCCGAGTTGTACAGGAAAAGATCAAGTTAGTCAAGCTCTATGGTGCGGTAGAATGAATCAACTCAGATTGCACTCCTTCAAGTCGAGACTACGGCGGCGAATATTATCACTGCTATATTACACCTGTCAATAAATAAACGATACAATGGATTCCCAGGCGGATGGTAGGGTCATGCGAAAGTCGTCATTAGGTTTTTTATTTGCACAAATAAAGAAGCCAAGATAGCTCCATGACGGTTTAGTTTTTGATCATTTATTTCGACGCCGAAATAAAATTTCGAGACAGTGCCCATGGATTGCTGGATTTCAAGCCCATAGTAAATTCGAAAAAATTGTTAGCCAAAATAGGGTTTCACTCACTATTAAACTCACATAATGCCTTTATTATCCCTCTCGAACCTAAATTAATAGCTTACTCAACCTCTTGACGAAATTAAGCAGCTTAATGTTAACTGAAGGAGTCTTGGTGTATGTTGTATATTTACCGTTCGATCAAGAATGGTTAAAAAGAAAAAAAAAAATCAATAACTTCGCAGATCATTGTACTACAAAGTTAGGGTTTATGATAGCTTCCAGGTTCACCATGACCTCTGGCATCATAGCCCAAACTCCAGCCAGAATAAGCCGAGGTGGACCCAAATAGTTTGTCCTGCCCTCCTCTCAAGGGTATCATCTTTCTGCAGCTGTCTCTTCAATTATCTAAAAGTCGTGAGAGGAAGAAGCTGAAGGGTTGCGGTCGCGATCCTCAAGGACTGTGTTTATTAATTTTCTTCAGCCTATCAGTGATTTCCGTTTCTTAACGCCACATCAGATCGCATAGCCCAAAAAAAAGGAGAGTAAAGCAAAATCCAAAAATAAAATCCATCTTTTCTTCCTTCTTTCTTTGCCACCTTTTTATCTCTTTTACTCACTTATTGCCGCATAATTCCCGCTGTCATGTTAAAGTAAACAGCAGTAGAAAAAGGCCCATCATCATCTCATGTCCTTCAGTCTCAAAAATAATCCTATTGAAATACCAGAGCTCCTCCATGTCATCGGATGTCATCTCTCCACACGCGATCAAAAGGCTTGCATGCTGGTCTCAAGGGCGTGGTGCAGCTTCTTTCGTGCATTCTACTGGCACCACCTTATCTATATCCGCCAATCAGGCATCCCTTATCTAGAGAAATATGGACATCTTGTTCGACACCTTACCGCTTACACTGCCAATGATATCGATCTGATAACTCTCTCCGGCTCCTGCCATTTGGTTCAACGGCTAGACCTTGACCTTCGTTTTACTGCTTCTATCAATGGACTTGAGATCTTGACCAGTAACATGCCTCATGTGCAAGAGTTAAGATTATGGGTTGATAGAGGTATTGAATTGAAACACATGGTGGCTATTACTCAATGGAAACGGCTAAGGACTCTACGCATCGGTCACAATGGATCGGTAGGTACATCTTGCGATATCACTTTGCTTTTAAAAGTGCTTCAGGAATGTCCCACCTTGACTTGCCTTCAGCTTGACAGAGTACATGCAAGCCGTGTGCAGATACCCACTCTTCCTCAGCGATTGTCAGGAGAAGCAGTAATTGTAGGTACTCCAGAGATACCAACAGGCATCTCAACAACAACATCAGCGGAGGTAACACAAGAAGTGGTTGCAGCAGGAAGGGCGGAAGAGGGTAATGCCTCAATGCCTCGGCCAACCAGGGCCGCTAAATGGCTTCATTGGATAAGAATCAAACGTTCAACAGGCAAGAGGGTTACTACAGCTTCAAAAAGCAAGGAGCCCTGGCGAAAATTTACTGTCTTAAAGCCCTATACGATCCGTCCAGGCAAAATACCTATGGGCTTACTTCAACTGACACCTGATGCATCTATTCTCCATCCAAGGCTCACACGGCTTCAATTCACAGGTGTCTGGATCGATGAATCCCTTCGAGATATCCCTGTTTCACTCCTCTTTGAAAAATCACCTAGTCTTCAGGACTTGAACATAGCGTTCAGGATGCTACCATATTACGTGAACCAGATCCTGGATGCTATTACCAATCATTGTCATGAGCTCCAAACCTTAGCCATTGGACATCTCCAATCTAACAGGGACACGAAACCATCGATTTATCGATTCTTTCGGCAGCATCGACCCAACCTAATGCAGCTCACATTAGAGAGCTGTGAAGCCATGGATGACGTCCTAGCCTTGATTCCAACAGCCACTGTTGCAGGGTTACGACGAGTTTGTTTTGATACATCTATTTATTCTCATGGAGCTTTTCATCGCTTCATGGCCCGAGCAGCCTCTTTACAAAGTCTAAGCTGGACCTCTGAAGCAGAGAGGTATGAAGGAACAGGGGGGCCTGAAGAAGCAGAACGGAAATTGGATTGCTACTTGGAGCCCTGGGCATGTTATGAGACCATCCGGAGTGTAGAGCAGAAAAGATGTATTGATGGCAGTTCTTGCTTTGCTGCCTTCTCCGAACGACTCGCCAAGATGAAGCGCCTAGTATGCTTAAGCATGTCTATAGAGGATTTATTACTCCTAGTCGCCGCTATGCTAGGGCTCGACAAGAAGAGCTTGGATTGCTCTGTACTCCAGAGATCACATAAATCATGTGTATCTATTCGTGACCATAGCGAAGATGATGACGACAGCGACATGAAGGCTTGGTCAAGCCTCCGCTCAGTCCAGGAACTCGTCCTTGGACCCATCCGTGTGGATCGAATGACTAGGATGCTTCTCACAGATCAACTAGATGCAACCAAAGTGCGGATGGTCATTGAGGCATTTCCTAAATTGAGGAAGCTTCGGTATCAAGGCAGGATATTTCCGTTAGACGATGACGCTCGAAAGGCTCTTGAGAGCCTTTCAGATAGGAGTATCATGGTTGTTCATGTCTCACAACTACCATCCTATACATTTTAGTCACTTTGCTTTTTTTTATTAAAGAGTATAGAAGAAAAGGGGATTAAAATCTACCATTTTAGCTGTTATGGATGGGCCAACCTGTTAAGCTGCATGCTAACAACCAAAGCGAGGTGGATCCACGCTCTGGCTTCTATAAGGATAAGACCTTAAGATTTAATATGAGCGGCAGAGCATCTTTTATAAAGTACAATGACAGTAACGAACCTTTGCGGCAGCAAGTAAGTCAGAGCCGTCGAACTGAGACAGCAACGATCCAGGGCTGCTTCACCTGAAACCACCTTTTTTTTTATCACATCTAAACTTTGAAAACATTTGGCAGATCATACATTTAATGAAAGTACTAAAGCCTCTTCTCTTCATATCATATTCCCATGGTATCAGAGTTCCTGATGTGGAATGTATCTGTTAACTCCACTATACCTATTGTATGTTTGCCAATGATAGAGCAGACAGAGCGATAACAGGTGTCCTCAACCCTTCATTTGTTATCTTTATTCTGTTTTTTTTTTTTTTTTTTTTTTTAAGCAAAACCTAGACAAAGTAAATCCAATAGTTGGATCTAGTTTTAGTTTTGGCCTCTATAAGGGAACATAAGTTTGAATATAGGGCTGTCATAGGCAACATCGTATGACAGTCTAATGGATGGTCGTATTGACAGGAAAAAAAAAAAAAAGATGCTGGTTTGTGTCCTTCCATGATCCTGTTTCCGCCATTCATCATCACATTCGATCATATTCCACAAGAAGACTTAAGCGATGAGCATCCCGACACCACTGCTTTACATCCTCTTTTTGCTCAAACGCTCCGCCTGCCAGATGCAGTTTCTTCAAATGAGGCCAATGCCTCAGGATCCAAAGGATGGTAGCTTTATCCAAAGGGCGCTGCCTCAGCTGTGAAAACCAAAAATATTCCATCCTTGTTAACCTTTCCAGCCGTGCTAGCGTTGACTCGATTGGAGAGAGGGTCAAGGATGGGGATGAAATCGTCAGACTTGATAATCGAGGGAATTGAGATAAATGTTGAAAAATCATTGATTCGGTTCCTTGGAATCCACAGACTAATTTTTCTAATTTAGTACAAGCCCATGGTTGCCGTTGGACCTCATCATCCATGGGCTCATCTAAATGAAATATCACTCCATCAGCCTCTAATTCTCGAAGTCTAGGCCATGATTGAAGAAATCGTAGGAGAGAGCCCTTGAAGCCCCGGATTGCACACCCGAACGAGACATCAAGGCATTCCACATATGGGCAACATGTCTGTAAAGTCTCCATCGCTCGTTTACCAAAAAAAGAATTACGGAATCCGACTGTGGTCAATAATGGGAATGATCTAAGGATTTCAACGATCGTATCTTCCTTGATGTTGTCAAATGGAAATGCTAAGCGGATGCTTCTCAGATGAGGAAACGCATCTCTAAGTGAGCGTATGAAAGTTGTAGACCACGTCCAACGATAAATCTTGATCATCATATCCGGTACAAGGAACTCTTCGATGAGAAGATTCTTGAGGTTCGGTAATAACCCTGACAGGGCCAAAAGACCGTCTTGAGAGATATCTACAAGGCGTAGATTGAGCGTTTGGACAGATGGGCAAAGTCTGTTGACTTCTTTGGAAACTTTAGCTTTGCCCTTGTCCCTTTTGCTATATTGCTGACCAGCTTGGCCAGTGCTTTGGTTCTGATCACCCCCATCTTCTGATATTACTTGGGCCGTGAATGATTGGGGCCAATGGGACGTCAGATTTGATGACCCTACTTCCTGTTCTTCCTCTTGTACTTGTGTTTGCTCTTCTATTATTTCATCCAATGTTTGTGCAACAGGAGAAGAAATGGACAAACTAGCTGCTGTATTTGCTGCGGTAGCTGGGATAATCAGTCCCGCAGCATTTGATGCAGCGATCGAGGGAAGATATGCATGGGCAGGAGATGAAGAGTTCAATGCACTTCCATGCTCCGCTTGGTATGAAGTAAGAATATAGAGGCCCTCTAAAGTCAGATGAATAAGGTGGGGATATGTCCTTAAGATGTCCTCCACGTACATTCGCGGCTTCCTGGCCGGGTATCCTCTCGTACTGATAGTCAAGCTAGCAACTGTACTAGCAGAGAGGCTCAAGACGAGATTTGGGTCTTGATTCTGGAGTCGAACAGAAAGAGATTTCAACGCGGGTGTGGAGCTATTCGAAAGACAATCCTTTAGTTGTTCGAACGGTTTCTTGGTGGGCAGAAGAGGCTTGGTACTTAACCCTCTCCTAAATATACGGCGCCATGTGTTTTTCTTGGGTATTGAAGAAGCTATAGGCAATTCTTGGATCCAGCTGAGAGATGAGGCAAAGTGGGCATAGAGCTCGAACATCGTCATAAAATCAGGTCGATCAAAATCTGTAGGTTGAATAGCATGGAAAAGTAAAGGTTGGAAGATGTTGTGCCATTTCTTGCAGACAAGAACGCAACTGAGCAGTGATGGACGATTGAGGAAGGCAGCAATCAAAAGAAGGATTTCGGGAATGGTCAAAGCACAAGAGACAGAGAGAGCAGGTTGATTTGTACGTTGTTTGTAACTGGTAAGTAAAGAGGACAGGTTTAGTTTTCGAGCAGGAGATGGTGGGAGTGCATTACTGGAAGAGGACGAGGATGAAGAAGGATAGGAAACGTTATCTTTGTCCTTGATGGATGATGAGAGCTGCTGTGATCGTTTCCATTTCAGCCTTGGTGTCATCATGCAAAGAAAAAAGGTGGTTGGAAAGTGTGCGTGCGTGAGAGCAAAGAAAAATTGTGTGTTGATTTGCGTTGCAAGAAAATAAAGGGGACAACACTTGTGGAACAGTCAAATGGGTGATAAGTAAAAAAAAAAAATAAACATAAAATATATGTATAAAAAAAAGAAGCAGAGATATAAAAAGAGAGGATAATGGGGGTAGAATAAGAATAAGAAATGACAAAAGAGACGAAGGGAGGAGAAGAAGAAAGGGAAGAAAAGAGAAGAGAAGGAGAGGTCAAGGCAGCAATGCCTTTATACTCAAGGAACATAATTTTAATCAAATGATGTATTGTGTCACGCATCCTCGCGTTCAAAGGAAGAAAATAATGAGAGCAGAAAATAGACAAAGCATGGAGAGAACGACGTCAAGACGTGGTCAAATAGAATATGGTATGGTTTTTACCATCGCTAATGCTGTTGAAGCTGAATGCAAAAAGCGTTGGGCACTTATTGATTGCTTGTTGTTGAGCGAGCGTGAGCAAAGGTGCATGCAATTGGGGATTCTGTTTTTTCTGGATGCTCATCAGACGTCGAAAAGAAATATCCGAGGAAAAAAGAAAAAAGAAAAAAAAAACACAATCAATAACATTCAGCCCTCAACCAGCAGCGAGGGTCTAATTATAACTATTTGATTGGACGTGGAATATTTTATTAAAAACTGAGCAAGGTAGTTAAAGAGATTCAATGGGAGGAAGAGCGAAATGGAGAAGATGCTCTCCCTTCCGCATGAACAGCGTTGACCATCTTTTTACCTTTCTACACACAGACAATGGAGGTGATGAACTCAATTCAATAGGATTAAACAATATGAGAGCCCTTTTTTTTTGCATTGTCGACTGTCCTGCATACTTGAACTGGATCTACAAAGGCAAAAACATGACAAGGTCAGAAAGATAACCCAAGCATTCAAATAATAAAAAAATAAATAAAAAAAAGACGCTATACTAAATACTGTTGGCCGTAGACAGATCTGTGGGTTAATGCAGTATCATGCAGTGATGTCTTCTGGTCTTTTCCCTTGTCCTGTATTTGTGTGTTGCTGTGTTTTTTTAGATGTAACCAAAGAGGAAACCAAAACGAAAGACAGTCCGCATTAACTTTAATTCTGAGACTGCATGATCTTTTGCTCTTTTTTATTTATTTAGTTGCATTAAGAGTGGGTGACCAGAACTACAGGGTCGTATGTGGAAAGCAGGCATGTGCATACAAGACAAATATGCAATTGTTCACATCCTTCTTGCCCCCTCTTAAAGCTTATTTATTTCTAATAAATTGCCCCAAAAAGTTTGAAAAGATTTTTGATTTAATGCTATTAAATGGCACAACCCTCTCCTGCTTAATGATCGGCACAGGTTCATTAAGACATGAGCCCAAGGAATGTGGAAAGGGGAAGAAGGACAGAACAATACATTATATAGAATGGAAAAAGCAAGTTTGTTTATATGCAAGATCAGTATATGAAATGCAAAAATAAACATGTAGGCATAATGAAGTATTGTTTGACTTTGAAATAGCAGTGTGAGTGATGAGATTTGAGAAATGAAGAGGAATGGACGGTTACCATGGAGATTAATAGAAAGAATGCAATGAAGGGTTGTGCATTAAATGATTTAAAGTTCAGTTTCAAGTATACATGTACATGTACCTGTGAAACAAAAGGAGCTTTTGATTTTTAATTACAACTGAATAGAATATCAAAGCTGATTCAATGCGACCTTGTAGGTCATGGTGAGTAAAAGACACAATATCAAGGCAACAAGCAAATCTGTTTCCAATTGATCTTTTATTTTATTTTTGGGTCAAAGTCCGTTCTTTCTTCAACATTTTTTGCATTTCGGTCAAGTGAACATGAGAGCAGCAAAGAAACAAAACATGAATGACTGTATCATATTTCTCCTTTTTTTTTTTTTTTTTTTTTTTTTTTTTTTTTTTTTTTTCGCGTGTATCAATCTAGAGTCCTCATTAAAAAGTCATCGACTAATCTATTTCTCACATTTATAAATTGAGTAAAATATCCTCCGTTTTTAGACAGGAAAAAAAAACATTTTTAAAAATATATTAGTCGACGACTTTTTGGCGAGGACTCCACTTCACAATGATTTATCCATTGCGGTGGTTTGAATGGCAATGGCAATAGCGCTTACTGCAATTTTGCGACCCCAGTTTCAAGTCGATGTTGGGATGTATTGGAGCTGAAGGCTCCAGATGAAAGTGAGATACATTCCCCCCCCCCCTTTTTTTTTTTTTTTTTTTTTTGCAGTTCAGGAACGCGACAAAGCTCACTCGCATTGCATGGAGCATGAGTGATGGGCGTGCGTTGACAGCTCATGATCCGTTCACCTATGCAACACACAGACAAACTTCTCCTTGATTGTCTTCTTACTCAAGATGCATGAAATTACTAATGAAATGGATGGGGGTCCGTTGGGATAAAAAATGACTGAGACGTCGACCAAGAGGAGAAAGCAAATGAATGACATGTTACTTCAGCATATACTGATGTCAGAGAGTTCTCCTTTCTAAGAGACCTATCCATATGAGGGCTATTTCGGTTTTTGAGAGGTTACCAAAATAGGAACCCTTTTCTCTAATTTTATTTTACTCTCCGCTTTATTTTCTGCTTCGCCATGCTTCGCCATGCTGCGCCATCATTCAAATAACTCTTTCTGAAAAAGGATGTTTAACATCCTTGGCACCACGACTAGATTTTTGAGTTGTTGGCCTCCAATGACAGAGTCTAGTTCAGTCTAGTCCCCGTCTGGTCTCTCTTTTGCTGCTTGTGCGCATCTAAAATATGAAAAAAAAAAAAAAAAAAAAAAAACTCTCAGTCATTTCGCAGTCATAACGCCCATTACGTCCGTTACACTTTTTTTTTTTTTTTTTTTTTTTTTTTTGGAACCTGGACCTGGCACAGGCACACACTCTCCTGGTCACTTCCTTACAACCCATCTTTCCATCGCCATTACCCTTCCTTTCTCTTTCAGCTCTCGCTTTCTTTTCTTTCTTTCGTCTTTCTTCTTCTTTGCCATCTTCAACTGTCGATTCTGCCCTTTGGGGGATTCTTGTCTCTTTGCAGCCTGGTCCCCCCACACTCTCATCTTCACTTCTCTCCTCTTTCCAATCCTCACGCTCTTTTATCTTACAAACTTTCCTTAATAAAACCCCTCTTTCTCTTCCACCGCCTGCATCGTCTCCTCCTTCTCTTTGGGTTGACCTTACAACTTCCTCTTTATCGCTACTCTGTCACTCCCTCTCTTTACCCATACGCAACGCTTTTTTTTTATTCTCACTTTCATGGCCACCCTGACCTCTCCACGACCCGCTGCTACAAGATCCTGGTGGAGACCCCCTGCACGCAACTACAGGCCACATCCTGGTCAACATACTACGAATCCTTATTATGTTACTGCAAATTCATTCTCCTCTCCGGTTTCAACAACAGCAACCACCACCGCCATACATGTCCCGACAGGACGGCCACAGACAAGAGTGAGTGCAGGAAGAAGATCAAGAATATGGGGGACAAGCTCTTCTGAGACCTTACCACATTACTGGTTCAGGGCACTAACTTACATCCTTCGAATACCCTTCAGAGAACTTATTGGCAATACATCTCGACCTTATGACCCGACCGCACCAGAGCCTCAACCTGACCTGCTTCTGAACAATTCATATTACCCCAATGCGTTTGATTATTATAATTCCTTAGGCACCTATCGTCCATCACCACCAACCACAAGCAATTCTGTATCGCGATCGCCTGTTCGACTATTTTCAAGAGGGACAACAATAACGGCAGCCACACAACAGCAAACCTTCCAATATATCCCACAGGTCAAGAAGGCATGGAAAGAAAGGACTTCTGGCATGAGTTGGGCGCTCTCTACAGCTTTTTTTTCAAGTATCATCTGCGTAAGTGATCAATTTAAAATAAATAGACAAGGACAATCTCGAAGAGGAAAATCAAAAAATTACAGGCGGGGGCGCAAGAGGTGTTAAATACATGAGGAAACCATTAAATAAATCTTTTTCATGTGGCAATGCAGGGCAAATGGCAATCAAAGATAATGGTTTGACATTACACAGTCATAGTCCTGGTTAACGTGATCCATGGACTCATGCTTTTTTTTTTTTTTTTTTTTTTTTTAGACCATAATCGCAACCGTCGCACTTGCTGTCAACTGGCAGGCAGAAGCCACATACCTTAAAGTCTTTCTCATTGCCTTTGTCCTACGCAAGTCAATCGTCTCTGCCATTATGATCGACCGCGCGCTCTATCGTCTACCTCTTGGCCTTGTGCAGCCAGATCCAGATATTGATGACGAACGACAAAATGGGGTTGCCATTTAGTACGTACAATTCTCTAATCATGCTTATTAACAAGCAAGTCTAAAGGTTTTTTTTTTTTTTTTTTTTTTTTTGGATACGAGTTTCCTAACTCTATTTTTTGTTGGTTGCCCATGATGAAAAAAAAAAAAAAAAAAAAAGCATGACCCATTTGTTCACTTGGCATGGATACGCCATGTTCTGTTTTGGTGCACTTTATGTCATTATCTATGGTTCATCTCATTATATCAAAACAGCTCCCGTGATCACAGGCGCAGCCATTGTTTTCTCATGCATGGGCCTCGTACCCTTCTTCACCCTCATGGCTCTGATAGTTGGCGCTATGGCTCTGCTTTACTTTCTCTACATATTATTCTTATGTTTGTTCTGGCCATTAGAGAAATGTGGTCTGTCCAGAAGAAGAGCTATCAGTCGTAGAAATGGCGGTTATAGAAGCAATGGAACCACCAACACGACAGATCTACGACAAATCGAGCAAGCCATTATTGACGCAGAGAATGGTGAAGCTGGTGGCGGCAATGATAGTGGCGATGGAAGGGGCGTTGATAGAACGTATAAAATCAAAATGACGCCCGCTATGGCTGCTATTCCAATTGTTATCTTTAGAAAGCCACAACTAAGGTCAACAGCAGAGCAAGGATTGACAGCAATTCAACAACAGCATAACCTTAAAGCACAAATAGCAGCTCATTCACTAGTTCGTCAGAGTATTATTGAGAAATATGAACCTCCTCCATCAGACACGGAGCAGGATATGGAATCGACATCAGCAATAAATAAGTCTGAAAACGAGGGAGAAGGAAACAGCATCTCTGTACAATTATCTGGAGAGCAATTTAATAGTTCTGAAATTAATAACTGTCACACATCTTCGACATCGCCCGAAACAGGACCATTGCAAGCTTCAACAGTAGCAGCATCATTTGGTCCACGCGCCACGACGGTAGAGAATGAATTTGAGCAGGCAAACTCGAGACCTATTACACGCCCTGGAACACCTTTTCCATTCACTGGATCGGACAGTAGAAATATCTATGCAAATATAACCTCCACTCCTGATTCTATTCTAAAGGATCCACTCAACAAGGCTAATATTAATGCCGAGGAAACGGCTTTAGCTTCTAAATCAACTGGATCTGGCTCAGCGCCTGCTATAGGTTCTGGATCATGGTCTGGATCAGGAGCAGAAATGGACCGATACATTCTTAACGACTATCCAACCATCGATGATGAAGAGTGTGCTATCTGTCTGAGCGTTTTTGAGGACGGTGATGAGTTGCGACACCTGTATTGTAACCATTTCTTCCATCGTGGCTGTGTTGACCGTTGGCTTGCAAAGCATCCGTTCTGTCCAAAATGCAAGCGTCATATTTGAGCTCCATGTTGTTTAAAAAAATAAAAAAAGAAAGGGGGCAAGTAGCTCAAATACCACCAATTGAAAAAATACACACATGATTCATTTGAACATTTTAAAAAATTCTAGTCTTTCGGGTCAGATGACAACAGAAGCTCATTGGCCGACCGAGGTGATGATAGTCCTCTATAGTCTTTCTTCGACTGAGGAAAAAATATCAAAAGTAAGATCCGAAGGTGGCATGCTTTCTGATGATTGAGTATTCTCTTCATAAGGCCACTCTTTCGAAGCATCTAAACATGCATCGCTTAATATCGCTTCAAACTCAAAATCATCCTCAATCTGCTCTATTTCTCCATTTTTTGGTCGAGGAAACCCATCCCTATTCTGTTCTGCATTACAGCTTTGGTTGTTGTGCTGAAGCGTGGCACCCATAGTCTCTCGAGCGATTGTGTTCGTTGTTGTTTGCTTGATAATATTTTCTCTTCTGTTCCCAAATTTTTTTATCCTGAGGATTTTGGATTCGAGCCCACATTCCACAAGCATTTGTCTATTATTTTGCGGAATGCTAGGGTATTGTAGCGAAAGCCTCTAAAGTATTATATATGTATATATAGAAATAAAAATTGTGTTTTTTTTTTCTTGTTGTTATTGTTGTTGCTATTTATATTCTTACGAATGCTTACCTCAAAGCTCATACTCATACACTGTTTCTGCCCTGGGCTTTGAGAGCGATCGTAAATACGACATAATGAGTACGCCAAGGACGGGACATCCTTCAAGATACTTACAAATTTTGAAATATCCTTGGGTGAAAAGATCAATGGAAATTGACGCGTCAATGTCCGAAGAACAGCAGTCATGCTCATTTCAAGAGCCATGGCTTCTGGGGAATGTATGGCTGTAATATCTGGCAGAGCTAAACGAGCGATAAGATCCTCTACTTGATTGACTTTTGTAACCCAGAGGATATCAAGCTTTAGAAACTGTAACATGGTTCGATTTAGGTATGGGTTCGCTGGGGGAAGGTTTGTCGGTTCGAAGCGAATCCAACTTTCTATTGTGAGTTCAAAAAAAAAGTTGGAGCATGTTTTATCTTTTTTTTTTTAAGTAAAGACAGAGAGCACAAAGAAAGTGTTTACCAATGCAGTCTCCAACTTGGTTCATCCCAATCGTAATGATCCTTGAAACGCCGTGCAGGCTCCAAGGTACAGATGACTCGGACTATATGCATATCATATTTGAAAGCAATACTAGTAAATAATTAATCAAGTTCAAGTGATCGACTAGTATCTTTTTCTCTCTTTCCTCATTTCTTTCTTCCTCTCCTTTCTACTTGAGTGCCGTCTTACATTTGGATCCATGATACTTTTAACAGCCTGTCCTTGATATACTTTTGAGGTAATATTTTTGCCATTAACAAAATGACGACAATCAATCCCAAGTCCTGAATAATGAACTCTGCAGAGAAGCTCCCACTCTTGCGAGTTTTGTGGGCCTAACGAGGCTGTCCTTTGGCATTCAATAACTTGCTCGCAACGAATGGAGACCTTATGAAAGGCTGCTTGTAATATCGATCCTGTAAAGGAAAAAAAGAAGGAAAAGTTAAATTTAAATCATCAAATTATTGAACATTGCATTTAAGAGTACCTTTTTTTATTATTAAAAAACAAAAGGCTCTCCTTTACCTTCCACATCTGAAATATTGTATACGCTGTTGCCCTGCCCATTCATAGACGTACTTTCGATATTACGCAAAGGATAAAGGTGGGCAGGGCAGTGACAAGGTGTCTTTTCAAGTCTAGCGGAGCTGACAGTAATCTTGAAAAATTTTTGATCAAGGGACGTTTGCAGACCGTTACCACCAGTCGCTAGATTATTGTCAAAAGAATTTTGTCTAATCATGACTATTATTATGATAGTTTTAAGGGAAAGAAGTCAAATCTGGACGGGTTCCGGCATGATGGTCTATAAAAAAATATCAGGTTGCACAAGCTTTTAGTGGCAACGAAATGAAAGTGCTAGAAAAGGATATCCAGAATCTACATAATTTAAATCCCTTTACTGTCTTTATACATTAACACAGTGCTCTATTTTATGTTGTTTAAATCGCTACATGAATACATCATTGCTGTGGATCTGGCACTTCAGGCTGCTGATGCTGATTAGCAGGTTTAGACATAGTTGATTTCACTAAACATAAAAAAAAAAAGATTGGCAACTGTTTCTTTCCGAGCGGACCAAAAAAAAAAAAAAAAAAAAAAAAATGAAATTGAAGCATACCTTTGGGCATCCGTTCATACTCATTCAAGACCTTCTTCTTTGCCTTCTTCGGTCCGTGATGATGATGGCTATGATGATGATGTTGATGTTCTAGGTCATCTGAATGATTACAGTGTCCATCGTTGTCTTTTTTGCTTCCTTTTCCCTTTCCCTCCCCACTTCCAGAGCCTGCTGATATAGGTCCGCCATCTGACTCTGAGCTTGAGGAATCTGAATCTAATGATGACTCGTCTGAAGATTCCCCAAACTCTTTTTGCTTTTTGAAAATACAACAGACTAAAGGATGAAGAAAGAAAGTTGTCAGTGAATGTGGTTGGGGTTTTATCCCGCTTACAACACACTCTCAAAAAATGACTGAAAAAGAACTTTCCGCTTTTCTCTTACTCTTTGACTTTTTCTTGCCCATGTGTTCATTATCAATCACATCGTCATCCCATTGAACTCGACGGCCTGCATTTGATTCTCCTGTTAGTTCGAGGACACCATGCTCATGGTCTGCTGTATCAGGATCCTCTTCAATTTCGGTTGGGTCAATAGTGATGGTACGAGATCCATGCGTGGCTGGTTGTCGTTGCGATCCTGCAACTCTTGAATAACTACCGGAAGCACCAGAGCCTCCACGCATAGCAATTTCAGTACGGACTGAGGATATAGTGGGAGGGCCAGCTGGGCCATAAATATCGTTTGTGGCGTCTGCTGTCGGGGTCATGTTTGTTAATGTAAACTGAATAAATGGAGTATATACTGTTTTTATTGCCTGCCTTTTCTCTCCAGCGATGAATATAGACAGAATGAAGTTTAAGAAAAAGTGGGTAATTCGTATTCAGAAGTTCTAAAAAAAAAAAAAAAAAAAAGTATTAATGAGCAGCTAACCATTGAAAAAAAGGATAAGCAGTCCCAATGCTCATTAATGAAGAGCAAAAAAAGTTCATTTTTAATCATTACATTTGTTCTTCCAGGACCATCTATTGACACCAGTAACGAACCAACCCTATTTGTCAGAACCATACTGTCGACGGCACATTCACAATAGAAAAAAAGGAATTCGATTTTAAAACACATTGACTTGCAGGGTGTCATTCTAGTTTCTAGTCAAGTGAGACTTCTTTCAGAACAGAATGATCTTTTCCATCTACATCATCAATAAAGCTGGAGGGCTGGTTTACAATAAAGACTACTCGGACGGGCTGTCTAAACTCACATCAAACGAATATCTTGTACTAGCGGGAACATTTCATGGGTAACGAGAATGACTATGATACTCTCGATTTCAGCTGTTTTTTTTATAAAAGTGCTGGAAAACTTTAGGCTTCGGGAGTGTTGGAGTATTCAACTCTGTCGTATATTCTCTCTCACTCACACTTCACTATTTATATATTTATTTCGAGTGTAGTGTGCATGCGATTACATCAAAGATATCACCTGTGCCAGGGTCCAGCGGCATTGAAATGCTTGAAACAGATACATTCAGGATACATTGCTTCCAAACACTGACTGGTAAAATCTTATTGCTTTTTTTTTTTTTCCACTATCAATTAGAATAATGAACTTATTGTCTCCATACTGTTATTATAATTCTCATCTATTTTTTGTTATAACTGTTATTCATCTTCGCATAGGCACAAAGTTCTTGCTAGTCACTGACCCGCAACAGCCATCTGTCGACCACACGATGAAGAAGATTTATGAGGTCTACTCAGATTATTGTGTAAAGAACCCATTTCAAAACCCAGAGATGCCTATTCGTTCTGAGCAGTTTGATGTCCATTTGTTGAAATTGGTCAAGTCTGTAGGTGGACTTGTAGTCACTAACACCACAAGTAATGCATACAATGTCATCGGTGGTGTCAGTGGCGGCCCTCTACTGGGCCATAACCAGTCTTCTCCACCCACAGTATCCAACGTTGCATCACCAGGCTTGGCTTGATACATAGAAAATAAAAGATGTTAAAATATATATATATATATATTTTTTTTTTTTTTTTTTTTTTTTTTTTTTGGTGCTGTGGGCGAAATTAACCCTGAGTGAAATCTTCTACAAGCCACCGGCCCGTAGATCTAATTTGGTTCTGCACGCGCCTGAAAGACAGTGTTGATCTTGTAAGCGCATTTTCTCTTTACCTTCATCCATTTATTTCATCGCCTCTTGCTTGATCTCAATAATTAATATCCAACATGAAACTCGTTCGGTAAAAGGCTATTTTTGTTTGTTTGTTTTTTTTTTTTGTTTAACACTCCTTTATCAATCACAGGATTAAAATTGCAAAGACAGGAATTAGACAGAGAATCGAGCAGGAACAGAAGGATTTGTCCTGCAAAGCTTTTGAGCCCAATCACCTTTTCTTGAAGAGTACTCATTGTGCATACCCTTTCTCTTGCATCAAAGAAAGACTAAACAGGATAGATGGCTCTCCATCATTAGACTCGACAACATTACAGTTGGACAGTTGGTCACTACAAAATGCATCGACTCGGAAGATTAGGACGAATTACTACTAAACCTGACTCTTAATCATTATTTTTTTTTCTTTGCTACATATGTATAATCTCGAATACTGCCATTTTTGCCTTTCAATCGACAAAAAAGCTTTCTTATGAAGCTCAACACTGAGACTGTTACAGTCGAGCTTAAGAATGGTACCATTGTCCATGGTACAGTCACAGGTAACGATTACACATATGTTTTCCCTAAAAAAGAAAAAAGAAAAAAAACTGGGTTTCACAGCTTTATGGTTTTGTTTCTTTGCGTTCTGCATTCGTCTATTTAGGAGTGGATATGAGCATGAATACGCATTTGAGGGCAGTGAAGATGACTGTGAAAAACAAGGATCCGGTCAGTTTAGATACATTAAGCATTCGTGGCAGCAATATCAGATATTTTATCCTACCAGATTCTTTGCCACTGGATACATTGCTTGTCGATGATGCACCCAAGAGTAAATCCAAAAAGAAGGCTGGTATGTATAATTTGACAAAAAATGTCTTTTTTTGCTCTTCTGATGCTCTAACATTCTTTCTTTGACTGTAACTGACCACATTGATACATATTGGACCGATCTTTCCTCAATTTCTAGTATCTGGTCTCTCTTCAACCAGAGGGCGTGGCCGTGGTCGTGGAGGAGCAAGAGGAGGCCGTGGTCGTGGCCGTGGAGGACGTTTCTAAGAACCGGATGTGGCCTGAGCGCGCAGATCATATTTTACTCGTGTCTGAAATAAAATAAAAAACAGGACTTGTGACTGCTAATGCTTTAAAAAAAAATGAAAGAAAAACACCTTTACTTTTTTTTAACATTTCGACACTAAATGGCGTTCAAAATTCATCGACCTTGTCAACTCACCGATTTGCCAGATGAGATTATTCTCAGGATATTTTCTGTATTCATCAACTTGGAAGAATCGTCGACAGAGAATCTGCTAATTGAACGCGACGAATCTCAGAAAACCAGCAATAACAACAGCATTAATAGTAGTCGTAACGATACAGCTATTACTGCTAATTCTGGTTCCCCTAATAACAATAACGCCAAGAAATACAAAAAGGCTAAGAGGGAGCGAAATCGCTCAGCTGTAGGACTAGGAGCTCGTACACTTTGTCGTTTATGCTGTTGCTCCCATCGATTCAATCATTTAGCTTCTGCAGATCAACTCTGGCAACCGCTCACATTGGCACGATTCCCAGATCGGCATTGGCCTACCACAGATCAGAAGAATTTGGGACTTATCCATGTACGTCGGGAACACCAATTGAAAATCTTAAAGTCAGCTTCATCATCAAGCCCATTATCATTATCATCCGCCACTGTAGGATCGAGTCTTTCGTCAATCAAAGCCGAGAGTCATTATAAAACGAATGGCAATACAGTCTTAGATGTTGTTACTGTTGCTCATGAGGACAAGGGCTCAAATGATTTTTCTGATCCGCCATACGACCATCAAGATGACTCAAATAAGAAACAGAAGCGGACCAAATTTTATTCGCGTTTTGAACAACGAGCTCATCGTCGACGGTTTGCTACATTGGACCCCGAATTGAAGCATACACCTTTAGCATGGACGAACACCATGTGGACTTGGAAGCGGACATTTTTTGGTGACTATCGTTTTGTGGAAGCTAAAGACGTGAGTACTCCCAATCGAATCGATCATGCGATCCATAGAAACAATAAAGACCAAGATCTAGCAGTAGAAACGCGTCAGGAATGTGGTCGCTGTTGGAGGCCAATTCGATCTTGCATTTGCACTGCATTAACGTCGCAGCAGTATTGTAATTGTCGTGTCCGAATCATGATACTGCAGGTGCGAGAACCTCCAGAGTACTTTTTTTGCTTTGTTTTGTTTTGTTTTGTTTCCTTGTATACTGTAATTGACTTCTACTTATTTTATCACTTGGTTACAAAAATACATATATAATGTGTAATCAGCATCCAAGATGTCAGGTTAGCATTGGTACGATTCGGATCCTGAAGTTGTCCTTTAAGTATTGTCAAATCATTATTGGCAAGGACTTTAAGGAAGGACGATCATCAGGTATGTGGAATCTACCTATTCTCCGCATAGCACAGTCTCCATTATTGCTATTTTTTATTTCATTCTCTTTATCTTTTTCTCTGACTCATTAAATGCTTAATACTGGCACTACATTAGAGCTCGATGAAGCTTTAAAAGACCCAGATTGTACACCATTACTACTTTATCCCAGCCATGAAGCGACCGATATCCATTCTTTGGCACCCATGGGTTCGGTCTCATCTATGGAGCAGCCATCTGTCACCAGCACACAATCAACGACAATATCTTCGCTTAATCATTCTCGCTACTATTGCCAGGGATGTATCCACTCCCATCCATCATCGACATCGACACACATTAATACTCTAAATTATGGTAAGAAGGCGAAGGACACTGAAGAAGAGAAGGAGGAAGCGAAGGGGTTATCAGGATCAACATCGTACCCATATAAGCTTATTATTGCATTGGATGGCAGTTGGTCCCACGCCAAGATCATGTATCGATGTAACCCACGGTTGCAACAGCTCACGCAGATCAAATTCCCAAATCCACCACAGTCTATATACCACGACCTTAAACCGGAGCCTAAACCAACTTACACCTCAACTGCTGAGGCTGTAGGACAAGCGGTGGCGTTGCTTGGATGGCCAGAGACTAAAGCTGAACAGTATGATAAAGATGCTATGTCAGATGCACAATCCTTAATGGAGGTAAGCAGCAAATACCTATCACACATGCTACTATCCCCTCACGGGCGTGTTAGAATAGTGGGGTTATTTTCTTATGAAGCTTAAACAACAAGCCCTTGTTCCTGTTTCTGGCAAATGACTCTACATAATAACTAGGATTTGATTAGGCCGCTCAAAACAATGATCGGAATCCAAGATATGATTGCACAAGACCAGCAGAAACAACCTGAATAACAGAAAATGAAAATGTAATAAAAATAAAATGAAATAAAAGACTCTTGCTTGGCAAAACATTCAGTAGGAAAAGTAATTGACTAATAGCATTACGTAAGGACCGTCAACGGGTAGCTGTCGCTTAGATCAGAAGAATCTTTTTTTGTCGTTATACTCCTCATTTTTTATGGCCATCTTGCAGTCATTGGAAGATGTTTATGTCCTTGTAAAGAGGGTTTCATCACCATGGCATTCACTATCACCTTCACATCCATCTTTGTTATCAATGAAGATATTGTTGTAGGAAATCTAAAGCGTGTTCATTTTCGCTTCAACTTTATATTATTTTCACAACGCGCAAAACGCAACACGACACGTCATAGCATTGCATACACATACACATACACATACAATATTCATTAACAAGAGTAATTAATACCTTCGAAGCCGTATGACGCGCTCCACTGTAGATACAGTATATCAGCTGCAGTTTCAGCACTTCTCCTTCAGGTCTGCTGATATAATGGGAAACAAGAAAATCAGCGGCACATCTATTCTAGGGTACATCTTGAATATTCATCCCTTTGTTTTTTCAAATTTCTTGTTTTATTCTCTTGCAGTCAGAGAATAAGAGAGATAGACACTTGTTTATCTTTATCTTTAATCTGGGTAGAAGAAGGCGAAAGTTGGGAAATGCGCAGAGGAGTGGAGGCTATCTAAAGATGACTGTGGTGGTATCGTGATGATATAACTTGATAAATGGATTTTAATACTTACTTTCTAACCAACGAACTGGTCTAGCTATAAAAACCCTTCACACATCCATTTTTTTCTTCCAAGTTCATTATACTTGCCCCGCCTTCTTCATCATCCTTCTCCCGCTAATTTCACTGATAAAATAGAGCCGCTGCAATATTATGATCCAATTTCCACAGTAATGGGTATCAATAGTCTCTCTAGCCTTTTCTGAAAAAGAAGGGCTATGAGGCACCCATTCCGTCTGTGAGCAGAGTGAAGAAACGAAGAAATGATAATCTCCTGGATCTCGTCTTTATAGCTTATTGAACGAACTGCAAGCACGAAAAGTATTTTTTAACATTACGACCAATTTTATTTTATTTTTAATGGTAATTAAACATTCTGAATGACGCTTGTGAGCTCTTTTTTCGCTGATAACATTACAGCCGATGTAGACCATAACGTCTTCCGTCCACAATAATCGGCCTCTTTTTCGTTTTCGTCCTAAATAAGGTTTCTGAGACGCTTCGCAATATAACGCGTAGAAAACAGTAGAAGAGGGCCCATAGTTTTACCTTTGGGCCAGATAGGGATGCCGGATTTCTCCAGCTGGATATCGCATGATGAGAATATCATCAAGACGTTTTCCAGGTGGATAGGCGATGTATAACAAACTTGATTAAAAAGAGAACTAGCATATCCATTATAAAACGAACATGCTGCGCTTAGTCGCGCTCCGAATCACTTTAAGTATTTTCTTCGGAGAATCTCTTTTATAAGAGAATCAAGATCGCTTTGCATACCATTGCCGCAATCAGGGCTTTCCGCCGTCCTGACTTCATCTATTTTCTGACAGCAAAATAGCTGCATTCTGTGAGAGTCTGGATCACAGTATGCATTGATAATGCCGCCTGTTTTAAAAAAGGAGAGAAGAGTTTGTAAGTTGCCACAGAGTATCATAGCCTTAACCTTTTCTTTTTTTTTTTTTTTTTTTTTTTTTGTTCTTTTGCGTACCCGCTATAATAAGTTTCTTTCCTTTGCAGGATTCTTGGAGGGAGGCCCCGTTCCATTTGCTATGTTGAAGGGGCCAGCCATAACAAAGGCTAGAGGGCAGCCATAGCAAAGGCTAAAGAGATCAACCATAACAAAGGCTAAAGACCAACCATAGCAAAGACTAAAGAGACCAACCATAAGGCTAGCTTCCTTTTTACCCCCATTTGATCCCATAATTGAATCACAGAGGATAGCGTCAATGCTCATAAGCCGCTTAGCTGAGCCTTTTTAAAGGTTCCAAGTTTTTTTTCCGCGGATGCTGCTTGTTTGGATAAAATTCGTCATAGCCTATTCTTCTTTCAAATAGCGAAGGTATTGCGCTTAATCCCATTAAGGATACTGCGCATAGCCTCCATCCAGGATACTGATAAGGTAACAGCTTTAGTAAGGCCTGATTAAGACCCTTTCTTTTTGTTGTTTGATCAATCATCAATCAGGTGATAGCAGTGCGTATGGTCTATATAGACCACTAGTTTTGTAATCCGATCCCGCATTTGATGCCTTTCGGGGGGGTTAAGCACTATCGCTACTATGCTGTTCCGCCATGAGGTGTGAAGGTTGCTGACTTGGTGATCTGTCGTAGACATACCCCGCCAAATTGGGGCCATTCGTATGAACAGCCTCTTTGAACTTTTATGCCATTGAGCCAATATACTGCATGCGTGTCATCCGACTGCTGCAAAAAGCACGGTTATAGTGTGACTCGATGCGAATAGAATGAATCCTATCTCTTTCATGTAGTCACTGTATATCCACACTATATACGGCGTTGCTGGTGCTTGACGCGAAATTGAAGCAGGAGTATGGCGTATACTCATGCTATGGAATGGTGTGTGTACTTGTCTCTGACACTATGATTAAGGAGCAGCCGTTTCTGTACAGGTCAGTGCAATCAATAGGAAGTAGAGTTTCTTCCTTTAGAATGTCATTATGGTCATAGATGTCTTGGTTTATTGGGTCGGCACTCCTTGAGCAGCAGTGACTATCGTCATTGTTGTTTGAAAACTAGGTTGTGCTTGTACTTTAGTCCAAGGGCTCTTGGAACGAATTTGTATGTATGGATCCTTACTAGGCTTTTATACTCGCCCCTCCCCCCTTTCTTGAACGTCAAACTCTACTTCTTCTTAAATATTATTTTGACCTCTTGAAAGACTTGCGGATGCCTTAGTGTGGCTGAATTAAGCAGGAGCGAGCAAAAATGTTCATTTGAATCTTGGTATTTATATTAAAAGACCCTTGTAGGAGGAAAATTGATTATGCTTTGTCTGATGCTCTGTAGAGACTTGAGGGCATCATCGCCAAGGTTTGAGCGGAAGAAGGCGTGTAGTGTGTGTTAGGTAAGGGCAAAAGGGGATATTGACTTATAGAGTAATCCGCAATGTCCCATGCCGCAACTGAAAAGGAAAAAACTTTGACTCACCTGAGAAATAGTATTTTTGGTAGCCTCAAATCTTTGTTCATTTGTATGGACTTGGTTTATAGAAGATGTTCAAAATATTTAAGATGCCGATGAAACAGCAGGATCGACAAACGCACCTGGAGATGATATAAGCTTGCAAACAGCGACATGGCTGAGTACTGCCTACAGCCAATTACATTGATACATTTTGAAGACATGTTTCAGAAATATTGACATCGCCTTTCAAGGGACAGGAATGTCAATCAATTCCTTCTTCTTGAGATGTTGATAGAGGCCTGCAACATCCAACTTTTTTTTTTAAAGTAACAACGGAAAGAGAGATAAATGAAGGCAGGAAAGACATTAGTTAATATGTCTATATATATCGCTAGGACACCACTTCACGAAGAATGGAAACTTACTGAAGTGACGCGAAGCAGCCATTGCCAAAGAGACGGAGTAACGAAAGAGCGAAAGTGACAAAAAAAAAATGTAAGAAGTGAGACAAGTTGGTATTGGATAATGAGATTCGAAAATTTATGTGTCTATGTCTTTTTTTATTTTTATTTTTATTTATTTTTTTTTTTATGAGTGTGAATGAGAGAAAATAAACTGGTGAGCAGGAATTGGTGTTACGGGAAATGAGGTCCAAAATGTCGAGGTACAAGGAACAGGTATTTATTGTGTTTTTCCAATAGACAGAGAGTCGATAGTAATGGCAAGGTAATAAATACCACACCTAAAAACAACAACAAAGATGTGGAAATACGCTGGCGTGGATAAGTATATAAGATGTTATGCCACTCATGACAAATGTACATTCTAGAAGCCTTTGATCGGTAACAAGGGGAACGATATGTTGAAAGAAAAACGCGTATTTTGCAAGTAAGGAGGATGAGGAAAGAGATTGATTGGACATGCTGGGATCTGTGCGTAGAAGGGAGTAGCACGAGAGAGCACAGGAGCAGATGCACTGAATAAAAATCAGCACAGCAATGGTTTTCCCGTCCTTTCTGTCATGCGTGCAAACCAAAGGCAGTGCCGAGTGAAGCTGCCCCGCTCCTCTATGAAACAATAGCCCTCGCATCATCTGGTTTGTTGATGCTGTTTAAAAGGGGCGAAGAGTTTTTTTTTCCAACTCAACAAAAAAAGGTTTGCTTTATTGGACAGGGGCAGTGGGTGAACCTAATCATACAAATCGAACTTCGCGACCTCGACCAACATTACCTCCCTGCAGAAACTTGATTCATGGTATAACTCCCAACCCTGGCAATGGTCTATATTACATGTTATATACAAATTGGCATCGGTCGTTGGAGGAGATTTTACGTTTATAGGAATTAGAAGGACAGGCTTTTATCTCAATCTTTTAAGGACATCCCGTAATTATGAATTGGAGAATAAGGTGTGGTTCATTGGAACGCACTGCAAAAAGTAAACCATGAAGTGGTATCTAGAACAGACCTCGTCCTCACCACACTTCCTATTTATTTTTTATTTGATTGCGCAATGTTGTCGTGTTACTATGCATTACCATATCGTTCGATGATGCCTTGGGTCATGCTGGATAAAGAGTCATGAACCACGGAGTTTATCCGAACTACCACATTTGTGTAATTTGTGTGATAATGGTTAGTGAGTGAAATACCTGGAAACAGCTCCTCGGAAATGACATGCTTTAAACGAGGCGTCTTTATTTAGTGATGACATAACCAAATACTTGCAACTTTAAAATCCTTTAAATGCCCAAGTGCTTCCAGCCGAGAATGCTACTCGAGGGGATATCAAACCATCGGGCATAATACAATAAATCTGGATCTTCTGTCAATAATATAAAGCGATCCTGAGCAATGCGATGCGCTTCGTCTCGTTTCCGTAAAAGGAACAAACAAGCTCCTAAGATTGGATGCCATATTCGAGGCACATTCTTGACGCTCCTGACTTCGATCTCTTCTTCTATTTCATTATCCTCTCCAATCAAATCCTTTTCTTCCTTGTTGTCTGCCTCCTTTTGTACATCTGCCATATCAATGTCCTGATCTTCTACCTCAATGGCTTCAGGCATACTACAGTCATGATCACCTCTCACGCCTCCATTCGTGATAGAATTTGATTCTTCTTGTTTCACAAGGAAAGGTATAGCCTCACTCCATCGCCCAAGACTGTCTTTAACATTCTGCCCGACCAAGAGTGGCTCTGACATACCCCATCGAACTATATTCAACCAATTGTCCAAGAAACGAATTGCTTCACGCGTTTTCTGATTCTCTTTATCTTGACCTTTCTTTGCCTTGTCAAGACGGTCAATAACATCGAGAGGTACAATAATTAGGCATTTTCGGTGCTCCAGAAGCGTCTTGACGTCTGAAAGATGCCAAACAAGAACAGAAAAATCCACAACGCATGTCCAATATGGCGGGCTATGCTTTTCTGGACGGTTCTTGAGCTGTAGCTGATTATTCAAGGAGCTACCTCTGTCTACCCCTGAATGACCATGCTGTTGTTGCGGAGAGCTTGGCGAAATAAATTTTGGAGGACCACGTTGATAATGATCTGTTAATTTAGTTTGTCCACTGAGCGGTAGCCTCACTGTCCCAGGAAGCGTTGAAATAGGGACGAGTGGCCTCGATCGATTACCATCCCTCCTATTATCTTGTTGATTCAAGTGACTATGACCACCTCTTCTTTCTACTCTCTCAGAATCCTCTAATCCCTTCTGGAGAGATGAGACTTGATCCTGGAGCCAGTGTGACGCCAGCACCTTAGAGCCTCGCTCACGTAGCAAACGCTAATAAAGTAAGATTTTAATGATAAACAATTAACACTGACTTTTTTTTTTTAAAAAAAAAAAAAAAAAAAAAAAAAAAAAAAGATCCACTCCTCTTAAGCATCCGAAACCGCTGATAGTATCCTTTACCTTATCGTCAGCATCCATAACTTTGTAATATACGCCTCCACTTTCTGTTTGATCTTCATCCGACACTGGCTCGAGCGAAAGTTCTACCACCGTGCCTCGGATGCTTTCAGTTGCTTGGATGACTTTCTCTGTAAACAGCAATAGTCGATATAGCTTTGTTGTCTCTGGATCCTCAACCACATCAAAACAAATTGATAACTGGCTATGAAATCGCCGGAAGGGCATGAGACCGAAGAAGTGATAGCGATCATCTTGAAGAATTTGATATGCCCTCTGTGAAACGTCGTCAAGGTTAAAGTAATCTTGGCCTTGTGGACGGATAATGTTAAGAACGCTGATAAACGATCGAAAGAAAGTAACTGTAGCTTTTCGCAGAGAAAGATCTGCTCGATTTGACGCGCCTGCCCACTTCTCATCCATACGAACCATCCCCCAAACCTGATCCCAGTGAGATAGCCAAAACTCTATGAAGATCTGAATCGGAAAAAGCAATCCTTGACTTGGAGAAGGATGGATCGAGTCATTTTGTTTGAATAGAGATAGCTGGTGATCCAAAATTGTAGTTGCCATCCCAAACAGGTAGATGAGTCCCAATCTTTGCGCCTGCTTCCACCCCAATGTTCCTTCCTTTGTATTCGACTCTGCTGTAAGTGAAGATAAGGCTGCCCTAGCATGAAGATCGTAAATTACTAGGATCATTGATGCTACCATTTTCAAAGCCGTACTCTCGAACCCACCGTCTGCCAACTTGGATGAAAGCTTATGACAAAATGTGGTCAAGAGGTTGGAGTCGCGAAAAGTAGTACTAAAGTCAAGAAATATACATATTATGTTATGTTAGTATTGTAAAGTTATAAGGCAGAAATATCTCGGCTCCAATTTGATTGAAAATACGATACCTTTCCAAATGAGGTACAAAAAAATCCATTTGGATCTTAATAAAAAACACTGTAATATCACATCTCGCTAAAGCCAGTTGCTGCGCAGATGTCGATTTTGGTCGACTACGAGTATCCGTCTCCTCATCTGTGCTCATTGCATTGCTCAAGTCATCAGACTGTGGGTATATCATAGAAAGAAGATCCTTGTAACGATTTTGGTATCGAGAAAAGAAGACTTTCAAGTTATCTCGTACAACAATTGATGGGGATTTGGTTCCTAGACTTTTTTTTTTGTTAAAAAAAAAAAAAAAAAAAAAAAAGAATAAGTTAAGTATTAGCTAATACTATTTAGTTTAATACTAAACTTTCTCAATATGTCCATAGGTGTGTTACAACACGAAGAAAGATACAAATGTATACATACCTGAGAGTATACCAATAAATAGCATCTAGGTCATCGTTGGCATACGTAGCAAGGATGGCTAACTGACCGTAAGGTTTTCCACTGTCTGGAAATGTCTGAAATGCGCGAATGTAAAAGCGATAGGCTGCCTCCCAGTCCGAAGCTGAGGGCCTGGTTTGCGACGTCTCCAGATCCTTGCCAACCTTTTGTGATGTGGTGAGCACAGCCTGAGTCTCGAGACGGACGTTGGTCCTATATCGAGCCAAGTCTCCAAGATATATAAAGCATTTTTGAATACAGTTCGCAAGAGCCTCTATAGAGTATGTAGGTTGCGCAAGCAATGCTTCATCTTTTAAGCGAGACTGTTGTCGGCCACGCCCACTTCTACTGCGGCTTTGCAATAATTTAGTATCAATGTTTGCGACAGATTTATTGCCTTTGCCAGCTGTTGATGATTCGGACTGCAGTACTTCAACTGCTATAGATTCAAGATCAATATCGTGTTCGCACCGCAAGGCTGTGATCATCTCATGGTAGAAACCTGTCCCTTTGTCAAGCAGTTTACTAAGCTCATCCATAACTTCCTGATGCTGTCTACTATTTTTGTCGAGCTGAATGGTATAATAATATGGATAATATGATAACGATAAAAAAATTGTCAGCTGGTCACGTATAGTTGTCATGTATGATCTAATAGCAGAGCCCTGCCCTTGCAGCTCATACTTTGTGTCCCCACATCAGACATACTTTTCTCAACTCTGCCCGGAGCTCTTCAATGGGAGCATAAAATACGTGCCTCCAGAGACGCTCATCTATTGATTTTTCGACTGCGGCAACTAAATCTTCCAATAATACGACTTCATAGACATCTTTGAGGCTAATTTTGGAGAAATACGCAGTAATGATAGTAAATTATTGGAGGAACGAGGAAACACTGATAGTTTACATAGAAATACACTCTCTGATTAAAATGGCGTATACGTACCTATCACGTAAAAAAGTCAGCTCCTCATGGCTGGATCGAAAATATCTCGAAGGCGGTACCTGAAACCCTTGCCCCTGGTCTTCTTGTTGCGCCTGATGCTGCTGACGACCAGAGCGACGCTGATTCTGATTCTGTAGTGAAGAATTTGATGACTGTCGACTCTGGTTTTGGTGACGCGAAGAGGAGGAGGTGTCTGAAAGGTTCAGGCGCCGGTCGCTGGTAGGGGATGAATGAGATGAAATACTGGATCGATATCCGACCTTATTAGCCTCTACATGCTGTTGAATTGTTTGCTCTATTAAAGAGGCATCTCTGTTCAGTAGAGATAAATATAATAAAAATCGGACGGTAGATTAGCGAGGAAGCCTATTGAAAGCAGGTAAGGCGCAGCTTGCCTGCGGCATTTCTGTCCTATTAGTATCCAGTATGAAAGGCACATACAAGTATAGCTGTCGCACGGTCTGGAGCTGATTTTCAAGAGAGAATTGACTGATGGAATTTGACATCCTCTATGGCCATGTTATGAGATGCAACCTTGCACCAAACACAAGAACGGAAGTAGAAAAGAGTAAGAGAGAAAGAGAAATCTATAAGAGGTTATATGAAAGTTTTTGTTGAGAGTCGATAATATTATAAACCTGAGAGTGAGGCAGGAAAGTAGGAGAATAAGATAAGTAAAAAGGTGAATGTAAAAGTATTAGTATTTTGGTTGTCTGTTGTTGAAAGACGCACAGCTGAGTTCGCACATTGCTTGACCACCTTTTATTCTAAGCCATCATTTCCTTCATCCAACATATTCCATTGCTTGCATGAAGCATTTCAATCTCTTTCTTCCTTACAATTAGATGCGCGCGACAGCCATTTTCTATCGCCTCATCCATCTTTGCCCCGTTACTTCCTACTAAGGTATCAACATCTCGCTATGGCTAATGAAGCACCTTGTAAGTTACTTTGTTTCATCGTGTGATGTGATTTTTCCTTCTGCAAGAAATAACCATTTTAAGCTCAGAACAACTACTATATTTCTCATCACTTTAGTCTCCAAACCTAACTTTTACCCAATCTACTTATATGTCTATCTTCAAATGCATCCACCAAATAGCCCGCGTTATTAAGGCTGACAAGTCAAGTTTGCTTGAATTGAAGAACGCTTGTGACGAAGCCCTCAAGGAGGTATTGAATAACGTTGTGGCTCGTCATATTCTTTATCGAAGCGTTTATAACGTTGTCACGTCAACAATAACAAATAACACCTGTCAACGGACCAAATTGATCCCACTAGTACCTGGAGTCCAAGGCTGGTTACAAACAGAGCCACAAACATACGGATATTAAGCTTGCCCTTGGGTATCTGGGCTGTATCTTTGCTGCTGCAGGATCTTACTATGGATATGTCCATCCCTTTGAACTACCAGCTACAAAATTTTGGACAGGAGTCAGTGTTGCATTGTAGGCTCGATCTCTTTTCCTTCTTCTTCGCTGGCATCCACTGGCCGTTACGTGTTTATTCACCTGAATAAACACTGAGTTTCACGCGTTATCTTTACTGATCAATCTTTTTTTTTTTTTCTCTTATCCTAGGTATTATCTGTTCAATGCTCTGATGATGGCCTATTCATACCTTGTTGAGAAGGATGTCATCTTTACCGGATCCAAGACTACGCCTGTACGCTATTTCTTTTTATCTTATTTTTTTTAGTCTTTGCATTTGTCTATTGAAATCTAATCTTTATTGGCTTCTGATCTTCATTTATTCGTTCGTTTATTGTTTTTACGATGTAGGATGGCACTCAAACTGTTTCAGTGAGCTCGTCTGTCAAGCACTACAACCCCTACTATAACCTTGACATTCATATTGAGTATTCTAGCTCTCCCAATTCACCGACCAAGATAAAGAAATCGGCCCATCAACGATTCTCGACAGCATTCCAGTTCTGGTACGATGAGGATGGTGTCTTGGTGAATGACTACTTTGAAGCAGACATTAAGAAGTTCTTTACCAACACAGAGGCTGCAAAGACTGAATGAAAAAAAGAAAAAGAAAAAAGAGAAATAAAATTTTATTTTGCATTTGTTATTTGTCTTTCAACAAATTAATTTGGCAATTTGAGCAAATGAAACGCGTTCCGCGCGTCCACTTACGCGAGCTTGTTGCAGTCACATTGACACATTATTAATTCATTGCATTCGCGCATTCTCTTTACATTCCATTGAATATTCACCATGCCAACAGTAGAAGCACCCAACACAAACGGTGGAAACCAATCTCAATTCCAGGATATCCTAACTACTTTTACCTCACTAACAGATCCCCTTGCTATTCATAGTGCACTCCTTGTTCTAGATCATGCATTGCAAGGTACAATTCAAGTCAAGGCTGAAAATAGAAGAAAGAAAGCATATTTGACTCATTCACTTTTTTTTTAGGAGCCAATGCATCTGAAGCGACTCAGCAAATTCTGAGCTCTATTCCCTTATCACACTTTCTTCAACTCCTGGAGACAGATCATGGCAACGACACGGAGCTCACCATTGATAGGACTTGCAACGTAATTGAATCTCTCCTCCGGGACCAGTCCTTTTCAACCATTAGTCAAGATTCATTGTTGCATGATGCACTTCTTCAAGCCCTAAACGCTGCTTTCCCTCGAGTCCATGCCTTGGGACTATCACAGGTGGATAAAATTGCCAATGAGAACATCTCGGTCCTAAAATCCATGGTAAAAAAGACTTTAATCCTAGTATTCAAAATGGCGATCTAATAATTAATATGCAGGATCGAAAAAAGTTTATTATTAACTATTAATATATATCTATTATTTTCTGTTCTGACGACTTCAGTTGGAATCAGATGTCTTTAAGGCTACTGTAGAAGGCATTGCATCAGAAAGTATCGCCATTGCAGAACGCTCCAAGCAAACTTTGTTAAAGGTAAATAAGGCTGGAATTGTTCTACATGAAAAAAAAAAAAAAAAAAAAAAAAAATAGTGCCGTGGCCTTATGCCTATATTTATATATTTTCAGATCTGTAAAGGACAGGATAGGCTCAAGGCAGTTGTCAACTACGACCCATCATTTTACTTGATCCGCAATCTTGCAACCTCAAGGTAAAGTTATATATTTATATTTATTATTATTTATTTGTAGGTTTCAGGAACTCCTCTATTGTACCCTAGTTTTTCGCTCAATATTTTTCTCCTTTATTACTATTCTCACTATCATTTACCATATTAGAGGTTCAGTTGTCCAACTGCGTATGATTGAGGCCTTAGCCTCACTGGCAGGAGAATCACAGGAATCTTTGAATCTATTGGAAAGCATGGGCCTTTTGGACTCGCTTAAAAATGGCTTGGGTGCGGTGGATATTTTGACTCGCTTTAATATTATTGAGATCTTGTCAGAGGTAAGAACAAAAGAAATTCAATTACCAGGTCCCGTCCTATGAAGATCGTAAAGAAACGATCTAACAATTCATATTGCAAATATTTCTTTTTTTCATTATTATTTAATAGTTCGGGGCCACAAAAGCTGGAAGTCAATATCTCGACCAATCAGGCATATTGAAGCGACTAGGAGAAGTTGTACAATTTGAAGTACAGGATGACGAACTGGGAACGACTGCTATCATAAAACTATATGGGAAATTGGGATCATCAACTGATATCGATTTTATTGCCTTGGATATGAAGTACCAGATCTTATCTCAACTCCAGTGGATCTTAGTCGGTAGTGATGACTATACACCATCTGAGTCATTGCAGGTAAAATATTGTTTATTGTCAAGCATTGCCTTTTATCCAAAAAAAAAAAAAAAAAAAAAAAGTTATTACAAAGTAACTTATCATTTTCTTATCAAAAATATTGGAGTTAGGTGGAAGCAATGGCCACCTTTGGGTTGTCTGGAGGCAATATTCGAAATTTGGAGTGGGTCTGTGATAGTTCATGCGCTTCTACATTCATTGGCCTCTTGTCAACTCTACGCCGTGATAGTAAAGTCGGGTGGTACCACTCTCTTGCGCAGATTTTGGCCTGCAGGTAAAGACGTTGTTTTTTTCCTTCACATTCCTCAATAGTCAATAGTCAAGTGCGACGGGAATGATTTATTCATCTTGACTTTACTTTTCAGTTCGAATCCTTCCTCAGAGATACAACGCATCATTTCAAACTTCTATAGCAAGCTTGAAGAACCAGGACAGAGTCCATTTATTACTCGCCTTCTTGTTTCTGCTAAATCCCAAACTACAGAGCTGTCTATGTCGGCATTAACGGTGATGATATCCTTGGCGCGCTATCCTTTTGGCGTGCAGGTAAAAAGATTTTGTATCTTTGGAATCTGCTGCTCCTTTTTTTTGTCTTCTGTTTCCAATTCTTATATTTATATATAATACATACATGTTTATTACAGAATATGGGTTCACAACGAGAGGTAATCTCATTTCTTTTGGATCGGAACGCTGAGTTATCTCATCCGCAAAAGGTAGCTTGTTAGCTGTAATATTTTTTTTTGTCATCGTCGTTGTCGTCGTTAAAATAGCTGTCATTCTAAATATCTCTTTATGTAAAAGGTTGCCAAATTTGAAGTGATCGAAGCAGTTCTCAAGACTTACGATGATGCAAAGAGAACATCCAATACGAGCCTACTAATGAACGATCAAGTATCGCATCTCGACCTTATTCGTCGTCAAGGCCCTTTTTACCAACGCGCCACTGCTACAGTTGCTATCCAAGACATTGCAGCATAATAACACACATCAAATAATTTTTTACCCATTTGTTTATTAATTGTGACAAGTCTTGTACAGGTTTAAGAGAGAATAAGTAAAAATATGCAATGACTTCTGCAGTTCTTTTTGTGCAGAAGGAAACAAAGATGAAAATAATAAAAAAAAAAAAAAAAAGATGAAAAAAGTACACGAACAAACGTTAAACGAACACTTTTTTTTTTTGTAAACGACAAGAATGCATGAATGATAAACAGAAAGGGGAAAAGAGAATTGTACAATGTTTTTTTTTTCTTTTTTTCTTTTTTTTTTTTTCTTTTTTTTTGCTTTCGATTTGTTCGATCTTTAGTTCACAGCAACGGCGGGGGCGGTTTTGTCATGCCTCTGAATAGGCTTGCGATCATGAAAACCACCACGCGTGGATCGGCCACGGTGGCTGCCTTGATGACCCTGATGACCTTGGTGGCCGTTTCCGTTCTGATGATGGAAAGAACGGCCGTTGTTTTGATAGCCAGGGCGGCGACGTTCCTCTGCCAACACAACTTCGGAACCAATGTTGACACGATTTTGCTTCAACGCAGCCTGAACTGCCTCTGCAGACTCAAAATCGACATAGGCACAATTCTTCTTGGGAGCCAGCTCAAAGTTCTTGACGGGGCCAAACTTGCTGAAGGCTTCACGCAGCTGCTCAATGGTCATTTTCTCTGTAATGTTCTTGACATAGATTCCATGAGTTTCCTCACGTCCAGTGTTTGATCTCTGTCCTTGGGGTCTGCTCACAGGCTGAGATGTCTGTGGCTTGGGAGTGGGCCGAGACACATTGAAAGAAGAACCTCTAGCTCCAGAAGCAACATGAGTTCCCCAGCGGTTACTGCCGTCTGATGCAAGCTTTGCCCAGGTTGCTGGCTTGGAAGGCTCTGCGGCTTCTGAGACGACAGCTTCTGAGACGGCGGAATCTGAAGCAACGGTATCCGGAGCGGTGGCAGGAGCAGATGGAGCTGCCTCTGCTTGAGAAGGCTCAGGGGTTTTTGGCTTCTCAGACAAGTCGGCATCTTTCTTTGCATCCTTCTTAGCCTCCTTATTATCGTCCTTCTTTCCATCTTTCTTATCAGACCTTCTGTCATGCTTCTTGTACTCTGATCTCTTTTCAGAAGGCTTCTTCTCCTCGGCAGCCTTCTTTTCATCGGTAACCTTCTCTTCCTCAACAACTTTCTTCTCATCAACAATGGGAGACTTCTCTTCCACAGCCTCAACCTTTTCCTCCTCAACAGGAGGATGAGCTTGTTCAATGACGTCTGTTTCAATAGGCACGGCTGCCTCAACAGATGCAACCGCCTCTTCCTTGTCCGTCGCCACCTCCTCCTGCTCTTTCTCCTCTTCCTCTTCCTTCTCCTCTTTGATAACAGAAGGTTCAGAAGCAACAACTCCAACATCAGCTTCAACTTTTTCAGTAGCATTCTCGAACTCCGCATCATTATCCTCCTTGAGGTAACGGAAAATGTCGTTCAAAACATAGTATCCCTTGGGCTGCTCAGCCAAGAAGAAGGTTTGGACAAACTTTTGGGAAGGCCCACCCTTGTTAGACATCTCACCCAAAACTTGGATCATGATACCACCGTTGAGAGAGCTCTGGCTGTCGACATTGGTCACCAGAACCTTGCAGTCTTCAAAACCAAGTTCAAGAATTTTAGCATGGATGTCCTATTGATGTAATGGAGAGAAAAAAAAAAAAAAAAAAAAATAGTATGCATGTTAGACATACTTTTGATCACCATTGGCTTAAACGAGTCTAGCACACGCGACATTTTTTTTCTCCAAATAGGAAAAAACAAATCAACTTTGATCCAATCCTAATACCAACACCCACATGACCCAGCCTATCCTATCCCTTGTCTCGCATCAAAACCATTTTTTTTTTTTTTTGTTTTTTGTTTTTGGACTTGCCTGTTGGCCATGGCAGACATAAGGATCTTCACCCTGAGTACCATGGCTCATGGTCGACATTTTGTTGTAGAAGCAGTGCAGGCGGCTGGGCTCTTTGTTCAAGAAAGTGTAATACTCATGAACAAACATCATGCCAACCTCGTGAGAGGCGACAGCGGGAGCAGAGTTTTCTGCGGGAATTGGGGCGTTTGCAGCGGCGGCAGTCATAGTGCTCTTTTTTTTTCTTTTTAAATATTATATATGTACAGCGAAAAAAAATTGACCTTAACGAGTTGGTAAAGAGATGAAGATCTATAAGAAAACATTGAAGAGATAAAGAGTGAAAAGAAAGTTAATAACAATTTTTTTTTCCTTCCAAAAAGGGAGAAGGAGATAAAACAGTGGAAAGGACTTGACAGTCTCCCATACAACTTATAAGCAATACACAAAGACTGAGATATAGCACAAGATAAAATTATCAGTAGAAGGTGCCTCTGCAATATAAAACAAAAAATGGTGTGGTAAAAGTATATGTATGAGGCTTTTATGTGCCAAGTGTGGTTCAAGTGTGGTCGTTTTGAGGACCCAAAAGTAGATCCCTCCCTCTCATTGTTGCCCAGATTCTGTCTGGTCATCTTATGAATCCAGGGGTACAAAAAAAAAAACAAACCAGTCTTTGAATGTCATTTACATCTGTTTCTAGATTATACCTCTCGCTTAATAAATGGCCACACATAAACACATACATGAGCACGTTCCCTATTTACTTCGCCACCACTCTTTTTTTTTTATGCTTTTTTTATTTTTGTGTCCTGATCAGCAAGGGATGACGCGAAGTCCAATGGGTCCAATGAGGGTGGATTCTGTTTGCCCTGTCAAATGAGCCACCGATTCCAATATGAAATTGAATCCTGTAATTTGTCCGTGTTGGAAAAAGATTTGCCACCAATCCCATTGATGGGCGTTTTGTATTCTACAGGACACCTTGCCCATGGAAGCTTTTATTTTGTTTTCTGACCAAATGGATCAAAAAATAAAAATACAAGGAAAACGCGATCTTACCTGGTAAAATGAATGCAAGCGGATGCAATCTCTTTATTAAAAGTGAGGTGTGTGAATGTAAGAATGGGTTGTAACACGGAAATGTCGTGTGCGATGAAGTAGAGAGAAAAAAAGGGAAAAAAAAAAAAATTGGAGTTGAAAAGAACAAAGTGGAAAAAAAGCAAAATTGTCACTCTTTTATACAAACTAAATTCAGCCCCTATTCTCATTGGTCAGACATGTTCTTCCTTGTGGAAGGGGATGCAGAAAGGACAAGGAGACGAGCAGAAACATAACACACAGACATCGAACCTGGACTTTCCCACTGGTGCTTCTCTTTGCCAACTGAATCTTTTCCATATTCGGACTTCATGAAGCCATATTCGTTAATTCATAAATAGAAGGCAGCTTCCCAAGATTGGATAGGCATCATCACCCTTAATTCCAAAGTAGACAATGGTGTATAACATAAGACGATCTGAGATAATGATGACGGTGATGATTGATGGATTAGGCAAAAAATGAACCGTCGATGCATACGCAGCAATGGAGCTTCATTGCAGGACGGCTTGAATCAATGAACAGTGACTTATTGAATGCTATCTTCATCCTCTTCTTTTTTCACCGCCAAAGAGAAAAGACGCCTTGCCATGACTTGGCGGAGGGAACAGTGCATGAAATACACACACGGACGTATTCTTTGGATGACAAAGCAGCCACAAAGGAGAGGGAGGGAACAAAAAGCATTTCTGAATATGGATAGTTCGCCCTGATTCAAGTATTTGGGTTGCGTCAAGACCTCAACAAACATGACTTACTTCGTATTACAACATTGCACTGGAATACAAAAATCCCAAAGCTATTGAGCCAATGCTCACGTTTTTCTTTACTATTTCATAATCTAATTCTTTATCGTTTCGCATTTCTCTTTTCTCTTTTTTTTCTTTCCCGTGCGTTTCTCTCACCAAGCACAACTATCCTCACATAATCGACCCTCATTCCCTCCATTCTTCCTATCTTCCCGCCACCTTCCCCTCATCTCTTTCCTTTCTCTTCTCCTTCACAGCAATTCAAAGAGATAGAGGGAAGCCATGAAGAAAGACGGACACCAACTTGAGCAGATGGAAGAAAAGCCCTTGGGCGTTACAGGGACAAATACCATTCAATCTCATAACAATAGCAGTCCAAACCCATCTTTACTCCAACCACCGCCCTCATCTCATACAGCTACAACTACACCAATAACAGGAGGGATACCAACAGCTCCTGCAGCTGAGATCGTATCACGACCTCCATCACCTGCATTGTCCAATTCACGTTTGTCTGTCAATACTATCACAGGCAAGACAAAGACTGCAAGCATCTACAGTCGACTTTCTTCTCGCCCTGGCAGCACCCACAGTCGACTCTCATCTCGTCCTGGTAGCATCCAGCATGTCGCCGCCACCGCGGCTGCCTTAATGCAGAATGCTGAAGCTAGGCGGATACGCATGGATCTCTATTCAGAACTCGTCAATGGCTGGTATCATCTCTCCACTAGTTCTAAAATCCTGTTGATCTACTATCTTGTGGTCACCATGGTCGAGGTATGAATAAACATTCAATGGGCAAACTAAGACTCTTGTAAACGTGAATCTCATACAGGAGAATAAACTTTTTTTGCCTCCCTTTTCCACTCCTTATTAGGTTTTAGCAACCATCACGGTATCCGTAATTGAACGGAAAAATCTCGGAAAGTGCTTCTACCTTGTCATTTTTTTGGCATTATACCTTATACGAGCCATCACTATTTCAGTAATGTTACTGCGTCGGTTCCTTTATGATCGACCCCATGACTTGCCTCGCGACGTGGGTGGAGCTTGTAGTGCACAGTACGACCTCTTTTTTTTTTTTTTTTTTTTTTTTTTTGCTATTCAACATGTGTCTTTCCTTTAATGTGACAACTGCTCAAGTAACTCAACTGAAACTAAAAACTATCCTATGCATGCAATACTTTTTTTTTTTTTTTTTTTTTTTAGCTACAAAACAATGATCAACTGGGCATCCTTGATCCTGCTCTTATTCTCAGTCTCATTATTGACAACACAATCACATTGCGCCCAGACTTCTCCAGGTCTCTTTTACTTGGTCCTTGTTCTATCATTACTTGGCTACCTTTGTTTGACAGCGCTCCTGATTCTTTGGTTCTTTGTTCTCTTTTGTCTTAATGGCCTTGTTGCTGTTCTTGAGCTGTTTGGAGTTGGGTCACGTGTGATGCAATGGCAAGGCGCAACACCAGAAATGATCGATAACATCCCAATAACCAAGTTTACAAGACGTATACAACCAACAATCACCCCACAGGAGCAGGAGCAACAGCATCAGCAGCCCTTATCTCAGACAGTAAAAGACCCTGAAACAGTCGCGATGCCAAGTATTGTTGTATCTGATGAGGGTATAGGATCGTATTCTACAAGACTGGAAGAATTGTCCTCTAATGTCGTAATCGAGATGGAACCTTCGACTGAACCTGCTGTAGAGGTACAACACAAACAAGCACAAGAGCAAGAGCAAGAGCAAGGGCGAGAACAGGATAAGGAAAAGGAGAAAGAACAAGAAGAGGAGAATGAGCACCCTACTCAAATGCTTTCACTGGAACATTTAAGCCCAGAGGAACGAGAGCTGGCCCTCCGTATCTCGACATCATGTCCCATTTGTTTATGTGATTATGAAGACTTGGAGGAGCTTCGACATTTGCCATGTGATCACTTTTTTCACAAGGAGTGCGTAGATGAATGGCTAAAACTCAAGCGGACTTGCCCTCTGTGCAAGTGCGACATTGCATATCGTAGGCGTGGCAGTAAGCTATGGTCTAGACGGAGTAACGGCCGAGGTCATGGTCGTCAGCGTAGCAGTGGAAGTAGACGGTTTTCATTCGGACCAAGACGAACGACACAATAAGATTTTATTTTCCTCCGAAATGGCTAGCTACATTTCATTGTAAATATACCCAAAAACTTACAACTTCACAAACAATCATAATTAATAAAGTCTATAAAATTAAGTCTCCTTTTCATGCGCCCCCTTTTTCAAAATCAACATTTTGGACGATGTCCGTTAGGGCTTAAAGTTACGTCAAAGTACATGTTACAATAAAATAAATTCTAAACGAATGCGCCATACGCATGTCATCACTTGATAGAAGTCAGGCTCCGACAAGAAAAAAGGTTCCTATCATGAACCAGTATGATATATACCGTGATATGCCACATTGGTGGCAGCAGTCCTTCAACTTTTCAAACCACCAACGTTCATGAAAACTTGCTGACAAACCTCCACAACAAATAACAACCACATTAAAATTAATATCAGCAGTAATGCAATATCGTCTGCCTGAAAGATACAGAAGGCGGATATAACCTTGATCATGAAGGGCAAGAAGAAGAAGAAGAAGAAGTAGAAAAATATTAAAAAGGCATAGCAACAGCAATGGTACCATCATCATCGTCATTCTTGTCCCCTACTATGAGTTTACAATCTCAACCTCAGTCTTCAGAAACAATCAACGGGAACTTCAAGAAGGAATTTTTGATTCCGTTCAAGTCTCTCTCATCTTATCTCTCTTTCAATTCTAACATCTTCATACTGTCCGTATACAGGAATAGCAGTAACAAAAACAACCACGATGGTAATAACAGCAATGGAGCCGGGGTGTCTGAAAAACCTCCGAGATTGTCATCAAGTCGACAATTTATTACGCCCAATGGAGCTATTGCCAATATCTCTGCCCAACTTGAGGTCAATAGACAGGAGGATGTGCAACAACTAAGCTGTATGAAAATAATTACGTGGATACGTGTATGATAGATTCCTAAACATGATGTTGCCGGCTATATGAGCATTAACAACAGATCCAGTCGTATTAGTAGCGTTAGCTCTGATCTGACCGTCCTAGTCATCATCGCCATCATTCCATGGGTCGGTCAAGTACTGCTTTTGCTCAGGTAGAGAGGCCGATTTTGTGAACCGTTTAGCCGCACTGTTCTTGATGAGTGCAGGTTAGATAGAGAAAACCAGATGGGCGGCCTACGGCTTCAGTCTAGCTGTCTAGTGGGACTCATCTACCTCATGCTTATTTTACTATTTGAGGTTCTCAACACTCGAGGGTACTCACTTTTGAGGGTACTGAAGGCATTTGTAAAAGAAAGTTAGCGGAAATGAAACAAAGCTCAAACAAACCACCAAAAGCGGGATATACAACAAGGATTCATCTATGAGTTTTTGAGTTCATTTATTTTCCCCGATTAAAGCCATTTATAAAAAAAGAGAGGCCAGATTGGAGATGATGAATGACCTTATTACTACTTTGAGCTTCATGGCAACCATACTTGTTGCTTAAACAATTAACCTTTGTCCATATTATGTAATATGAAGGAAAATACCTCACGGACTATGTATTTTATAGCATGCCATAAAACATTCATTTAATTACACTACTTATGCTATTTCTATGATTCGAGCCATCATTGGGTACAAAAAGTCTTGCTGTACGATAATTTGTGCAGTGATTAAGCTTGGATGCAATCGCGAGACTGATAAAAAAGGAAAAAAAAAAAAAAAATTATTAGATCCATGCCCCAACAGTGAAACATCCAAGAAACTCCATTTTTTATACGACTTACAATGTGGCCCTCCTGCTGGCACTTGAAGCAAACCTGAGCTTTAGGTCCTTCAGGGCAATCCTTACTCAAGTGCCCAAAGTTATTACAATTATAGCACTTCACTCCACTTGCCTTGCAGTCGCGTGAGAAATGGTTTGGCCCTCCACATTTGTAACAGATAACGCGTCCAACTCTAGAATTATTACCACTTCCATTGGCAGAGTTGTGGTGGTTGCTATTGTTGCTGTGGTTGTTATGATTACTGGAACGTCTACCTCCGCCACCATTCATACCAAAATTGCGAGGAGAGGGCCCATTGAAGTGAGATTGATTGGGGCAGTTGCGCGCCATGTGACCCTAGAACAATCAGAAAAGAGAATAACAAGCAAAGAGACTTTTTTGTCAGATTTTCGACGTTGTAGATTGTGTACAGAATATATTTATATTTCCTATTCACTTACAAACATCTTGCAGTTGTAACAACGCCCAGCAACCCCACCAGCATTGCGGGCAATCCTGATCGAAGGACAATCGGCCTGAATATGCCCGACTAGGAATAAAAGATCCATCAAAAAGCATTCGTACAAGACATGCTACTGTTAGATTCAAAAAGCTCATCCCCATACTGGAACTGAAAAAAATAAAAAAAAATAAAATAAAATACATTGTTTCCTGGTTGTGTAAATGTGTTTTTAGACCTGACTAACCTCCTCCGCAAGAGTAACACTGTTTCGACTCTGCTGTATGGGGCATAGGGCACATGTTAGACTCATGGCCGGAAGATTTACAGTTGTAGCAAAGCCGCTCTGGCTCTGTACAGGAGCTAGCAAAATGGCCAACTAAAAACCACGGAACAAAATGTTCTCTGTAAGCGATCTTTTGTAATCCATGAAAAAGATGTCCAAAAGTGTTCGTCGATTGCGCCCATAATAAATAGTAGAAGGATTAAGATCCAGACTCCAAAGAGACCTTTCCTCTTTTTTGATCCTTGCCATCCTTACCATTGCCACATTTGAAACAGCCTCTCCTTGGATACGACATAATTCAAGAAAATAAACTACATACAACAAAACACTCACTACGTACTCTAAAAAAAAAGAAAAGAAAAGAAAAACGCCTATGCCATAATGTACAAACACATTTGTGTGAGGTTACTATGGGTATGGGATTGCTGGATATCTAATTAAGTTTCCAGAAAGCTGGTTGAGCAACCCCGGATCGCTCACTATTTGGAGGCTCGTATTCCTCCCACTACAAAGAAAAAAAAAAAAAGGCGACTTGCATGCTTTCACTCATTTCTGAGGCAGTTTTTGTCCAAATTCCTGCCAGACGCGTTCAAGAGTTTATCTTTAGTCCGACGATGGTTTGGAGCTGATCCTGTTAGCTGCCATGCCATGTCCGTAGAATTACCTCGTGAAATGACTGAGCTGAAAATGGAATGAAAAAAAAAAAAAAAAAAAAAAAAAAAAGGATGTTTGAAGGAACAAGTCTGACCATGATAATAGCATTTACGATCCTTGATTGAACAATACGTCATCGTTTTTTCACAAGCATATTCTGAACTGGTAAAAGATTTTTTTTTTTTTTTTTTTTTTGAATTCAAATGGATAGGTGTGTGATGAAAAAGTTGATATACGACAAAGGTGTTTTCTAATCTTCGGGGGCAGGCTCAGCATCAGCATCAGCTCTGGGGGCTATAAAGAGTAGTAATATAGGTATTTCGGGACCATTGAAACGTTGAAAGTACGATATTGATAAAGGTCCCATAGGAATAGTTGATGCCATTATTACAATCATTGTTCATTCGTAGGTGTAGGTGGTCGTCCATGATGTTGGTGGCGATGAAAGGAGCAAGCAAAGCGAAAAAGAAACAATAGAGATAAAACATTGTTAGTTATGATTCTGATACCAAGACAGATTAAGTATTAAAAAAAAAAAAAAAAAAAAAAAAAAAATTACCCTCTTGCATATCCGAGGTCCAGAGGGTCAAATTGTCTCTCAAGAGTTGCATGATCAATGTGGAATCCTTGTAGCTCTCCTCGCTCAGGGTATCCAACTCGGCGATAGCATCATCGAAGGCCTGTTTGGCCAAGTGGCAAGCACGATCAGGGGAGTTCAAGATCTCATAGTAGAAGACAGAGAAGTTGAGTGCCAATCCAAGGCGGATAGGGTGAGTAGGGGGGAGCTCAGTGATGGCAACGTCGCTGGCAGACTTGTAAGCCTCCAAAGACTTGTCAGAAGCATCCTTGCGCTTGTCGCCGGTGGCGAACTCGGCCAAGTAACGGTGATAATCACCCTTCATCTTGTGATAGAAGACCTTTGACTCGCCCAACTCGGCGTTGGGGATCAAGTGATCCTCCAAAACCTTGAGGATATCCTGGCAGATCTCGGCAAGCTCCTCCTCGATCTTGGCGCGGTAGGTCTTGATCATAGCAACATGTGCCTCTGAGCCTTTGGACTCCTCCTTCTGCTCGATCGAAGAGACAATACGCCACGAGGCACG